GTGACCACCCTAGCTGACCTTGATCAATCTAGTTGACCTTGAACAATCTAGCTGACCTTGATCAATCTAGCTGACCTTGGACAATCTAGCTGAACTTGAACAATCTAGATGACTTTGTCCACCCTAGCTGACCTTGTTTACCCAAGTTGACCTTGTCCACCCTAGCTGACTTTGTCCACCCTAGCTGACCTTGAACAATCTAACTGACCTTGTCCACCCAAATTGACCTTGACCACCCTAGATGACCGTGACCAACCTAGCTGACCTTGACCACCCTAGCTGACCTTGTCCAGCCTAACTGACCTTGACCAACCTAGCTGACCTTGACCACACTCACTGACCTTGACCACCCTAGATGACCGTGACCACCCTTGCTGACCTTGACCACCCTCGCTGACCTTGTCCACCTTTGTCCTCAGGTCCAGGCCACCCACAAGTACACAGGAGAGGATGTTGATGAGCTGAACTTTGAGGCAGGGGAGATCATCTATGTTATAGAATTTGAAAATCCAGATGAGCAGGTAGCTTGTTGTTGCACACATAGCCCCAAAAATGTCTTAATTACAGGTGTACTTTGTATAAAGTTTATGGCTGTTTGATGGTGCCACTATAATTAATGGGAATAAATGGGTATAAAGCAAATATTTTTTTTAGGATAATAGCTGGCTGATGGATATAAAACTATTTTTTAAGGATAATGGCTGGCAGATAGGTATAAAAGTATAAATCAAATATTTTTTAAGGATGATGGCTGGCAAATGGGTATAAAACAAATATTTTTATGGATAATGCCTGACAGATTGGTATAAAACATATTTTTTTTAGGATGATGGCTGGCAGATGGGTATAAAACAGTCGGATGGATCCAAGGGGGTGTTCCCTGAAAATTTCACCCGACGTATTGGATAGCATGATGTGCCAGTGTGCGACCAGAGGTAATGAAGGCTAGTTCAGGCCTGAGGTCTTCAGGTGTTGAAGTTGTGTGGTTGTAGATGATCACTGGCGGATAAAGGTGACTGAAAGGAAATTTTGAAATAAAAAGTTGCTCTCTAACTGGTATTGAAGTTTTAAATAATTGCCTCTGTTTAAATAAAACCTTGTTTTGAAGAAATTGGTCACTATTTGTAACTCACAATTTCTTTTATTTAGCTATAAATTAAAATAAGAATATTAGTATTATTTTATGCAATGGCAATAGAGTAGAAGTAATTATTGTAATGTTAGTATTATTTAAGTTTGTACATATATTTTTTACTATTGTGTACATTTTTTTCCTTGAGGATTTTTTTTTTCAAATACTTCTGTTCATAAAAATAATGTACTGAAATAAAAAAGCTTATGTTTTGTGGATAAATATTTTATGTCAAGCTATGTTTGATGTGTGTTAAAACAAGAATTGTAAAGAAATAAAATGTAAATAATCTGTGTGATGTTACAGTGCCTTAGAAAGGTTGGTGCAGTTTTTATATATACACTCTCCCTTCTGCTGATTTTTATGGGGTCAGTTCTAACTTGTGGAAATTATTTCAATTTTAGAAGGTTTCTATCCTAGAAAGATTTCTGTTTGTGTGAATTGTTATCCCAGATAGCCTAATTGTTGACTTTTTAAAAAATGTGTGAGTAATGTAGCTAGATCATTTCTGTTTATTTGTTACATCTTTTTGAACTGACAGTTTTGTATTAGGTTCTTAACATTGTAATTTTTTCTCTTTTGAAGTAATTTTTGTTTTAGATTTTTTTTTTGTATTTGTAATAAACTTTTTAAAAATATCTTTTTTTGTATTGTGAGTGAATTGAAATGTTTTTAAAGAAAATATAAAAAACAAGTAAAAGCAATGAGCACATTTATTACTGTATAGAGAAGAAAACCTACTTATTGAATTCAATTATTTTAACACTGCACTGAATGAAATGGCTGCTATGTTTATGGCAATACCTGAATGATCCATTGATAAAATGTCATCAATATTGGTGACTAAGTCAAGGTTAAGTTGAAGAATTAGATTTGACCACAAGACAACTACTGAAATATTTCTTGAACATTCTACCACTCACATCTATTTAGAAAATATAATTTGTACTTTTTTTCCTTTTTTTTCAAGCTTTGTAAATATTCAATACTTGTATAATTAATGGAATATAGATTAAACCAATCAGAAACTTTGTTGCATTGACAGTGGAAGTGGCCCACATCCAACTTGAGATTTCTCTCTAGGGCTCGTCAGACATGCTTTGTGTTCAGTTTTCTGATTGGTTAAACAGGTAAATCATTGGCTGTGCCTTGTTACATAATAAACATTTTTATAAAAACTTTGTATACACCTTTATATTCTCTGGCACAGTGCATGTTTTATTCAAAATATCTTCTTCATATTTGCTCATTCATTCCATATAGGTGATTAATTACCTGTTGTATTTCAAAGAGATTTGTATTGCATTATTTTGTTAATACTTTTCAAGAAAATATTACTGACATGGATGATAATATCATTATTAACCTACTGGAAAAAGTATAATTGTCTAAACTCAACCCAGCAGTCAACAAATATCTGTACATTTTCTTTTTACTGAGATTAAATTGTTTAAAAAAAATTCAATTATGTACATGAATTAAGCTGTATATTTCATTTAAAATCCTTTTTTTTTGAAGTATGAAAATACTATTGAACTTTGAGTGATTCTATAGGGAACAAATTTCAGGTATTATAGATGGTTCACAAACTTCCAGGGATGATATTGTAGTTTAAAAAAAAATGGTTTTGTATTGGAACATGATTGAAATAATTTTAAAAAAAAATCATGTTTAATTCTGTTGGTCTGGCACCTTAGCTTTAATACTATATTTCTCAGGTCTATCAATTATGGATTAATCTGTTTGTTCAAATGAAAATCACGTAATTAAATTATTGCTGTATCACCCTCTTGCAGTCACTCTGTTAAAGATCACAAAAACATCCCTTCATTTTTAGATACAAAAATCATTACAAATTTTGACTTGACTGAATCTCATGTTTAATTTCGCTGAATTGTATTTGATAAAATTATTTTTAAAAATTTGTCCCATGGTGTTTGCAGTTTGAAAAAAAAAAGTCAATTACTGAATGTGATTTAGCAATACAGAAGATATACCCTTGCAAGAGCTTTACATGTTCCCACCTATCTGTCAATTATTTATTTACTTTTAGCAACTGTTTTACAAGCATAATAACTATACAATGACAACTTCCATGAGCTACATTGTATGGTTAGTGCTGTGGTCTATATCTATACACCTTATCACATTGTAATATTTTTTAAACTTCTATTTTTTTATTCAGTTTGTATAAATGTAATGTAAAATTTAACAGGTCAAAGGTAAGATTGCTGTTAGATGATACATTCCTCTTGGGTAAAATGTGACATGTTTTTTTTTATCATTGACCACAAGGATGTTATGGTGAATGTTGTCAGATTGTAATTTATATGCGAAGAATGTTTTTCACCTGTACCACAAGGTCATGAAGTAGTTTAGTCTTAAATTGTCTTGCCTTTAGTCATTAAAGATGTACTCACCTGTTGTAAAAAAAAAAAAGTGAATTCTGGCTGAAAAAAAAATATGCACCACGCTTTATTGGTACTTTATTTTGGCAGCATCTGTTTACATCTTTTAGTTTTACCTACAGTCAGGGTGCTCAATATGTTCTGTGTCTGTAACATTTTGTTTGAAACAAATGTTTGATTATTTGCTTGTTGTAAGGATTTTTATATACCTGTAACATTTTACTTGTTGAGGATTTGTGTCCATCAAAATAAAAATAAACAATGGAATAGCATTGAACTTTTTATTTCCTGGAGGTTGTTACCTACTTAACTATTTTGAAGAATAAATAAAATAAAGAAATTTTGATGAATAAATAATAAATAAAATTTTAATGAATACATTTTTTTTTGTCTGAAAATTTAGCCCACTCCAGTACTTTTAAACATGAATAATAATAAATAACAAATATATCAATTTCAATCAGGAACATTTTACAATCAAATAATCCAACATTGGTTGCAACAATAGAAGAAACATTCTAAGCATATGACTTGAACAATGCAATGATCAGTCAGACATTGTAACTAGCATTTATTTCAACAATTTTCTCCAGCTTCTGGTTCAGGCTATAACTATTAGATTTAAATTATGTCATTTCTTTTTGGATTCTGTTTTTTAAAATTTGAGGTTGGATTCCAAGATCCAAAAGATTTCTTATTGTAGTTGTTCACAAATATGTTGCCCCAAGAGAAATCAACTCTTGCATGGATCAATAATTACTTCATTTAATTCAGAAGTAGATTGCTCTTGTTCTCCTCGTCATATGTTAAAGACTAAGAAAACAATGAAATATAAAATGTTAAGACATAAATACAACAATGTAGCAAGGTTAGCCAGCACCTGAATAATTCTTGCCAGCGCACTTTCAAAATGCCTTGTGACTGAATAGTTACATCTCTCATACTCCACATTTTTTAAAACATCATTTGACCAGTTAAACTCATATTGTGTTGATTTCTCCAATAATATTCACTTTCCTGTCTGTATATTTCTTTGATATTTCATCTTCAAGCTGGCAAAATAAAAAACAATAGATGATCTCTTTGTATTGGAGAGGTACACCAAAATGGAATCAACTGTTAAGAAAACTTTTTTTTTTAAACTTATTAAATATGAAATTATCTGATAATGTAAATAAATTTAAGATAAATGAGATTAAACACACCTGTTTTTTAAGGACTTTGGTTTGTTTTCTTAAAAGTTCCAACTGAGGCTCCAAGTCTTTCTCTTCATTAACTGCCTCAATTCTGGTCCCGGCCATCTCTTTCTCACTCTGTAACATCTTGTCTGCCAGCAGGAGTTTTTGTCTTAGGGAGTCACGCAAGCGGTCAACATATCTGGGGGTCAAGCCAAATTTTTTTAGGTCAGCATATCTGGGGGGTCAAACCACAAATTTTAGGTCAACATCTGGGGGGGGGGGTCAAACCACAAATTTTAAGTCAGCATAACTGGGGGGGGGGGTGTCAAACCACAAATTTTAGGTCAACATACCGGGGGGGGGGGGGTCAAACCACAAATTTTAGGTCAACATATCTGGGGGTCAAACACAACATTTAGGTCAACATCTGGGGGGGGAGGGGTCAAAACACAAAATTTAGGGTAACAAATATGCGTCCCAAACAACAAAACATCCCATTCCCAAAGGCTGAATCACATAAAATTCTAATCTAACTACCAAAATGCTGAGTTATCAAATATTTAAATCTTAGGATCAAAAGGTGGGGGTTATCAAATATTATTCACCTTGGGGAGTCTCTTATCAACATAAGGTGCTGCATCTGGACTGAGGTCAACTTGTCTAAGATGTCCTTAACCTTGGTCAACATGTTGGTAACCTCATTCTGGCCAAGGTGAATGTCACTAGGGGCAGATAACATGTGACTGTCACTGGCATCATGAGACAACTCATTGACTCTCTGAGTTAAAAATGCTTTAAGCTGTGAAAGAATACAACAAAATATCATTTTTAACAAAAAACGTTTTCCTAATTTTTTACTTCAAAAATTTCTAATTAAAAGCAAACCTGTTTTTTTCCACTGTGTCTGTTCTTAGCCATCACTTTACATTAAATGTATATTGTATAAGATTTGATTGTGGCTGACCACTATTAACATGTGAGGGTGAGTTCATACCTCTAGGAGATCATCGATAAAGTTATTCCTAGTCTCAGGGTTATCAATGATGCTGAGAGCATTCTTCCCAGTGGCGGTGCCAGAATCATCAGTCTGCTGTCCTGCCGCTGCTGAGGGCAGGTCCTCTACAGCTCCCCAGTCAATGGCATCAATGTCAGGGTTTTCTAAAACAACCTGGGCAATAGCAATGTCAGGGTTTTCTAAAACAACCTGGGCAATAGCAATGTCAGGGTTTTCTTAAACAACCTGGGCAATAGCAATGTCAGGGTTTTCTTAAACAACCTGGGCAATAGCAATGTCAGGGTTTTCTTAAACAACCTGGGCAATAGCAATGTCAGGGTTTTCTTAAACAACCTGGGCAATAGCAACAATGTTGGGGTTTTCTAAAACAACCTGGGTGATAGCAATGTCAGGGTTTTCTAAAACAACCTGGGTAATAGCAATGTCAGGGTTTTCTAAAACAACCTGGGCAATAGCAATGTCAGGGTTTTCTAAAACAACCTGGGTAATAGCATCCATGTCAATGTCAGGGTTTTCTTAAACAACCTGGGCAATAGCATCAATGTCAGGGTTTTCTAAAACAACCTGGGCAATAGCATCAATGTCAGGGTTTTCTAAAACAACCTGGGCAATAGCATCAATGTCAGGGTTTTCTAAAACAACCTGGGTAATAGCAATGTCAGGGTTTTCTAAAACAACCTGGGCAATAGCAGCAATGTCAGGGTTTTCTAAAACAACCTGGGTTATAGCAATGTCAGGGTTTTCTAAAACAACCTGGGCAATAGCATCAATGTCAGGGTTTTCTAAAACAACCTGGGCAATAACATCAATGTCAGGGTTTTCTAAAACAACCTGGGTAATAGTAATGTCAGGATTTTCTAAAACAACCTGGGCAATAACATCAATGTCAGGGTTTTCTAAAACAACCTGGGCAAAAGCAATGTCTGGGTTTTCTAAAACAACCTGGGTAATAGTAATGTCAGGGTTTTCTAAAACAACCTGGGCAATAGCAATGTCAGGGTTTTCTTAAACAACCTGGGCAATAGCAATGTCAGGGTTTTCTTAAACAACCTGGGCAATAGCAATGTCAGGGTTTTCTTAAACAACCTGGGCAATAGCAATGTCAGGGTTTTCTTAAACAACCTGGGCAATAGCAACAATGTCGGGGTTTTCTAAAACAACCTGGGTGATAGCAATGTCAGGGTTTTCTAAAACAACCTGGGTAATAGCAATGTCAGGGTTTTCTAAAACAACCTGGGCAATAGCAATGTCAGGGTTTTCTAAAACAACCTGGGTAATAGCATCCATGTCAATGTCAGGGTTTTCTTAAACAACCTGGGCAATAGCATCAATGTCAGGGTTTTCTAAAACAACCTGGGCAATAGCATCAATGTCAGGGTTTTCTAAAACAACCTGGGCAATAGCATCAATGTCAGGGTTTTCTAAAACAACCTGGGTAATAGCAATGTCAGGGTTTTCTAAAACAACCTGGGCAATAGCAGCAATGTCAGGGTTTTCTAAAACAACCTGGGTTATAGCAATGTCAGGGTTTTCTAAAACAACCTGGGCAATAGCATCAATGTCAGGGTTTTCTAAAACAACCTGGGCAATAACATCAATGTCAGGGTTTTCTAAAACAACCTGGGTAATAGTAATGTCAGGGTTTTCTAAAACAACCTGGGCAATAACATCAATGTCAGGGTTTTCTAAAACAACCTGGGCAAAAGCAATGTCTGGGTTTTCTAAAACAACCTGGGTAATAGTAATGTCAGGGTTTTCTAAAACAACCTGGGCAATAGCAATGTCAGGGTTTTCTAAAACAACCTGGGCAATAACATCAATGTCAGGGTTTTCTAAAACAACCTGGGCAAAAGCAATGTCTGGGTTTTCTAAAACAACCTGGGTAATAGTAATGTCAGGGTTTTCTAAAACAACCTGGGCAAAAGCAGTCTGGGTTTTCTAAAACAACCTGGGTAATAGCAATGTCAGGATTTTCTTAAACAACCTGGGCAATAGCAATGTCAGGGTTTTCTAAAACAAACAAGAGAATAGCATAAATGTCAGGGTTTTCTTAAACAACCTGGGCTATAGCAATGTCAGGGTTTTCTAAAACAACCTGGGCAATAGCAATGTCAGGGTTTTCTTAAACAACCTGGGCAATAGCAATGTCAGGGTTTTCTAAAACAACCTGGGCAATAGTAATGTCAGGGTTTTCTTAAACAACCTGGGCAATAGCATAATTGTCTGGGTTGCTTGGATAAAAAAAAAATATTTTGACATATATTGTGGAACAAAATAAACAATACTCTATCGTTAAGTTTAAAATAAAATCTTTGTCATTTACAAGTATTAACTGAAAATTAAATTATCAGAAAAAAATCATTTCAGGATTTTAAAAAGTGTCTTTACCTCTCCATCAACAGCCAACACACCCCCACTCTCCACAGTGATGTCCCCTAGATCAAAATTTACAGCATCCCCAAAATCAATAGCACTGTCTTCATCAACTGCACTCCAGTCAATGGCTCCATCAGCACCTACATGAACCAATAAAGGTGCAAATTATCCCAAATCACCACCTACATGAACCAATAAAAGAACAAATTATCTCTTCACCAACTGCACTCTGATCAATCTACTACTACACTGAATAATTGAAGTACAAGTTAGCCTACAAAGCACCTTTATGGAATAATAATAAAGTTACAAAATACCAGAAGCACTAACTATCCACCTCCATAAACCAACAGATTATCCCATAAGCCAAGAATAGACTTAACAGTAACCTAAGAACTCAAAGAAACATACCATTAGCACCAGCATCTTGTTCATCAGCTAGATCAATAGAGATATCCTGCTGATCTATTTGCTTAGGGGCTTTCCCAATTCTCCATTCATAAGTGGTGGTATTTCCCTTGCTCAGAATATGCTTTAACAGTGGTACGTTTATAGCATCATTACTGTTTCAAAAAGAGAAAAAATTGTAACGAAAAAAAGGTAAAATGCATTTTATGTTTATATATATATATATATATATATATATATATATATATATATATATATATATATATATATATATATATAACATTGGATATATTAGAAAAAGTAAAGATTCCTTTTTAGACCTAGCAATCTATTGGGCAGATGAAGTAAAGTTCATAAGAAAATATCTGAAGGTATGGTGTGGTGAGGACTATGCCCAACATAAATCAGGTACCTATCAGAGCTTTATGGACTCTGGGATGTCCTCCAGTCACAAGAGCAAACCAAGACCGACTTAATGTAACACTTTAAATATCTTTTAAAAGTTACTTTTTACTGTAGATCTTTATTTTAACCCCTATAGCCAACTTACTTGTTTGTAACAAACTTGGTAAACTTGTCATAGTACTGTACCGCATCATTCAAGGACTTGGCTGACTCAGCAAACTTGCTCAGTTCAGATGGAAGATCCTTGACAAGACTTGCCAATTCAGTTTTGATTTTCTCACCCTTCAAAAAAAATATTTAAAATACAATTTTAATTATAACTAGGTTAATTAGGTAGTAATTTTTAAATTGCATTGTGTATCATATATTTTGAACAATATATGTAGAAGTTAAGTAAAGTCCGTGTTAAAAAACTACTATAGAAATGTTTTTAAAAAAATAGTTGCACACCTCAATCCCCAACTGTTTGCAAGAAGCAGCATATTGCTTGCGCAAATCTGCAGAATTAGCTGCATATTCTTTTTCTTTTCTGGCACATTCCTGGTTTTTGAAGTTTAGTAAAAAAAATTGAAAAGTAAACAAACAAAAAATTATAAACAATTGAAATGTATCTTCTAGGACACATACCAAGTACACAACAGCGTTGGACACATTTCGACATAATATATGACACAGAATTTCAAAAGAATTAAAATTGAAACAAAACAATTATTATAAACATTTGTTAAAGTACACTACAGAATTGTACCCACCATGACGCCGTACATGACACAAGGGAATCCTGACACTATGTATAATTTAGAATGAGAATTACTGGGTAAGAATTGTCTGTGGTTTCCTTTGACAGAACACATGATCCTAACTCAGATATTAAACATTAGTTCATCGCTCTAAATTGTCGCATAGCCCTTGACCTTTAATTTTAGTTTAAGTTTCTCAGTGTCCAGGGTAGACAGTGATTATTTAGTACTTTAATTAGATAACAAGCTAAACTTAAGCTTGCAGAAGTTGAAAAGACAAAAAGACATTGGGTTACCTTCTGAGTTTGCTGGCATTTACTGATCTGTTTCTTCACAGCTGGTACCTCATAGTTCACATTACGGGTAATCAACAAAGCAGCTTCAGCTAAACATAAATCACATTTTTAGTATTTAACAACAGGTAGATAGTTTTAAAAGAAATTGCATGTTTTTTAAAGTCAGAAGTCTTGCATTAAAATCGATAGTGTGAACAGTTTGATTATACACAATTGTTTTCTCTATAGTTTTTTATGTTAAAAAAATCAATTTGTTGTGTAGCCAGGTTATATCTTAGATCCTAGTTTGATTTTATTTACCCAGGTAAGTGCCATCTTTTTCATACAACTTTATTATATCTGCCCAATTCTGAGGACAAAAAAATATTTTTGCTTAAAAAAAATTCAAGTAGGCCTATATATATAAAAGCATTCAAAAACAAGTTAAATTAAACATATACCTTCATGCTTTGAGAGGCATACTGTCCAATATAATTTTTTTTGCCTGTGTCTGTCGACTTCAAGCTTTCAAAAACTTGCTTTACATGAAAATAGTTCAGCTCTAGAAAATGAAATGTTTATTTTGAAAATTATACTTCAGTGTTTTTAAATATTTGAATAAATTTGCAGTAACATAATTTTAAATTTTAATTTTTTTAAAAACTCCAATTTAATATTTAAACACTTAAATATCAAATAAAACAACAGCTTGAATGAACAAAACCTAAAATAGATAAAAAATAAATTTACGAGGTAAGGCAAGAAGCTCTTGAATTTGCTGGTTGTTTGATTCCTCTGCCAATGAACTTTCCTTAGCTTTAGAAACTTTATCCCTGATCACAGTCAGAATGGCTTGGCATTGCTGTGTGCAATGACGTCTATTCACCAGCCAATCTAGCAAAAATATAAAGAACTAACAATCATTCATTTGACTAATTTAAAAGTTAGAACATTTAAGACCTCTATACAACTTAGTTTTGTTAAAATTATGAAACAAACAATAGTTATTCCAGAGAAAAACATCAAATGATACTGCTAAGTTTTTTTTTTAAATACAGACAGTTGATAGATGATAATGCTACAACTAAAGATATAATTTTTTTTTTAAATTTTGAAAATAAAGAGGTCATTACATTTATTCTGGCTTAAAGAGAATAAAGGAAATCCGTTTTCAGTTAAACTCTAGAAATATCTACATTTTATTGTTCAAAACTGAAATTAACTCACCTAATAATTTATTATAATGAATATCAATGGGTAAGGATTCTAAAGATTTCTGTGTCATTGTCAAGCACTGGTAGCTTTCTGTGAGTAGATCTATAACAAAATTAGCATTTTCAACTTGCAACGTATGAAAATTATGAAAAACTGGAATCACTAAATACATTGAATGAAAGAACTACATAGTCAGAAATCTAAAGTAAATGACTTGAGCACTGTAATGTGCATATTTTAACTGCCTTATTATTTTGGGAAGGTGAAGTAAAGCCCATCTTTAAGCCATGTAATTTTACGTTTTCAAGTTCAAGTCATTTACTTTAGATTTCTGACTATGTAGTTCTTTCATTCACTGTATTTAGAATCTATATAAAACATTGCTTTAGAAACATTTTCATATTTGTGCAGCACACAGTTTTTTTTGGGGGGCTATGGGAGGAAGCCAACACAAAAATAAAAATATGCTTCTGTATTATTTGTATTCATTTCAACAACATAAAGAATACAATTTTCATATAAGATCTAGATGTCTAGACCTAGTTGAGCTCTACAAGAATATGTAATTTTTATAGGATGATTAGTGCTTTTTTTTAAAACCAAAATCCCTAACAACTTCACTTGTTAAGTTGTTAATGTTATATGTTAGGCTAAAAAATTATAAAATCTTAATATTGGCAATGGGCATAGATCTAGTACTTATTTAATATTTATTAAGTCTCTTTGCCTACTCTTAGGCTAGGCAACATGTTCTGAAATTTCGCTATCGTTCACTAGAATCCAATCTAATCTAGATCTTAATATTAACATTTAAGAGTGGATTTGTTTATATTTTGTTTTACCATATGTCCCACGTATTACAAGTGGTTCACTTTTCGTTTCCTAGATGTTCCATAATTTTAATAATTTAAGTCTTAGGTAAAAAGTCGTCACGTTGAAAAAAAAATGTAAGGAATAAAATACAATAGGTTGCACATTAAAAGCAAACCACGTAAACGTAATATTTATATAGATTCTAGATCTAGCGACGAAAAAAAACTAGGTGTATGAATACATGTAATATTTTGAAAGTTTTTTTTTGTTCGGACATATTGTGAAATGTAGATCTAAGTGCTGGTACAAATTTTATCAATATCTAAGTTACTCATCCATTACTTTGTACTTACATTTGTTTACAATATGGCTGACTTTGAGTACGGATTTCATTCGGTTAGATGCTTAAATGTTTATTGTTTTAAAAAACGTTAATATTTGTAGGCGTTTGTTTACTATTAATCATGCCATATTATATTCTTAATTAATTGCTATAATATATCTATAGACATGACCCGCTAGACTCTAGTAGAGTCTAGTTCTTTAAAAATTTTGCAGTTTAAAAAATCTTTCAAATTTCATGTCAAGTCTTGACATGAACATTGTCATTCTGTTAACTTGAACTACTAGATCTAGGCCCTATAGAATCTAATATCTAATTTAATGTTTTATTTTTAATATCACTGTGTATGATTTAATGTTTGAATGGTCAAACTAGTATATTATACCATCAGTATATTTAAGTATATTAGATAGGGCTACTTTACAAATGAACTTAGACTTAGTAATTACTTAGTATCACTTAGGCTCTTAGCTTAGGCCTAAAAAGTATTTATGTTTTATCTATTACTCAGTTTATGATAAGAACATAGTAAACAAAATATTGTTGTTCTTGTATTGCAGGATACTCCAGATGAAGAGTCTTCTATATACAGTGATGGCTTACCTCAACACTCACAAGTATGAAACTAAATAGTAAATAATACTAAATATTATATATATAACTATAACACACTGAAAAACTCTAGGACATCTGTCTTGTCGTAGTTAGTCAAAATAATTTCTTATAAATTGTAACTTAACCTAAACACCAGATGTGTTATACATTCTGTAATTTTAACTATGTTGAAATGTTCAATCTGTAGAAAGAAATCCATGAATGGATGGAAGTTAACAGAAAACTAAGGAAAAATGGTTTACAGTCTGTTCGTGTTCTTTCATCACATGACATCCCTGTTCATTCAGGTGAAATTTTCTTTGAATTAAATAAAACAATTATTTAAAGTTTATGCAATGTATATTTTAATGCACACTTGTTTTACAATTGCAAAACTTGACTTGAAAATGTATGGTAATTTGAAATATAACAATCTATCATAGGTTCATATAATGCTTACAATGCAACAGTTAATAAATTCCAGCAATATATGCTTTATTCTTGTCTTTTAAAACACTAGATTTGTACTAATAACTCATTTTTTTTAAAATCAGGTCGTTATGTCTGTTTCGATTTGGAATCCAGCCACTCTCTTAGATCTTCTATTATAACACTTATCAATGAAAGTGATCGTAAAGAAAAGAAGATGCAAGATCTGCTGAAGAAGAATTCAGAACTTCAGTTAGTTTTATTTTATTTACTTTATCATTTTAGGCTATTTCTAAGCCTAGAAATCACTATCACTAAAAGTTAAAGGTTTCCTCTTAAGATGCTAAACATATTATCTGCATAGCCAATTGTGCAGCTAGGTGCAGCTAGGTTCTTCCGTACTGTTTACAGGGACAATGATTTGTTTGTAAAAGCTCCCAAAAACAGAAGTGTAGAAACTTTGTGAGCATCCTGAAGTTTGATAAACTAAGTAAATTTTTTATGTCCACTAATGCTCATAGGTCAGTTGTTCATTATATTAAGAGTTATAGTTTTGTCTCAAATTTTAAAAATACTGGTAACAACAAATAACTCTATTATAGGAAAGAAACTGAGCAGTTGGTGGAGGAACTTGAATTGGCCAACACAAAAGCTAAAGATGTAAAAGTAATGCTGGAATGTTCCAGAGCTCGGGTGCAGGTAAGACCCCTTTTATAAAGACTTTTTTTTTCTAGTCTGTTGGTGTTGTACTGATAGGTGCTACTTAAACCAACATCTTGTACTTAATAAAACATGATTACTAGTGACAGTCAGTGCTAATATTGGTTCTATAGCATTTTTGTCCAAACTCTGTTTTGAGCAGACCAGCAGAGTCGGATTCCAGTGTGTAAAATAGGTAGCATCTTTAGATCCTGAATCTTTTATGGGCCCCTTGAAAGGGTTATTTATAGCTTTTGTTGTCTGGCATAAATAATTTATATTAAGTTATTCATTATCTAATTTTTCTTAAAGGTTTGAGTAATAAATGTCTAATCCATTATTTTAGAATTTCTGTTTTCTATTTGTGCTTTACCCTAACAAGGAAATCTATTTTAGTCTACATAGGATAAAGTTTTAGCCTGTTTTTTTTAATTTTTCATATTGAAAAAGTTGTATTTCGTGTAAATTCAGACAAAAAAAAAACAGTTTTTATGTGTTTTATTTAGAATCTGGAGGAAGAAAAATCAAGATCAACATCTCAGTACGCAGATGAAGACGAAAGACTAAGAAACACTAAATCATCAATAGCAAATAAGTGTAGGACTCTTGAAGCTAAAGTCATGGAGCAAGAAAAAGAATTAGATCGTTTGCGAAGGGAGGTTTACATTTTTGCCCAAGAGGTTTGACTGTATTTTAAAATCGTATTTTGTTAAAAAAAAAATAATAAGGGTAGATAATTATGAGAATTTATAAATGCTTTGGAAATCTAATTTTTTTATGTTTGGTCACAATATATCAATAGAATAAAATTAAGTAATAAAATAACTGCAACATTAGTTTTTATTAATTGTTTTTAAACCAGTTAAAGCCAGAAATAAACTTATTTCATTTGTTTATTTTAATAAATCAGGGTGAAAGCAGAAAAAAAAGGCAGAAACAGGTGTTTTTGGATTTCAAAAAACGAGCACCTCGATCGCAGTCAGCTGTGGACCAGAAGTATGTTGCAATTGTTCAATACACATTTTATACAATGCAGTATTTATAATTCTAAATAAATAATAGTTAACATCCCCTTATATAAACAGTATTAAGTAACTATCTGGTATTTGTTTTATTAAATTTTATCACCTTCTTTAAAATTTGATAATATTATTGGTCATAGACTGGATTTTTAAATTTAGGGATCCTTCTTCTTCTTCTTCGTTCTTAATTATTAGTGTTGAAGGGGATCGAGATTTATCTGCCAGTGGGTTTGAACTCTAGACTTTGTTCGAATTTATTAACCATGAGCTTTTTGCCGACTCGACCACGCCTCCAACACAATTAAGCGTTACGTGTCAACTGGTTATGCGCCATTGAGGCCATTGACTCCGATTTCAGCCTGCTTTTCTTTTTGGATTTGCTTCCATAGCCTTTGTCCAACCAAGAACAATCTACAAGGCAGTAGTTGTTTAATTTTGGAGTTGTCTCTCCTAGAAGAGTGGCTGTCCCCAGCTAACGAGCCTCATCTGCCCGAGGGTTCGAACTAGAGACTTTTCGGTTTAGCAACCATGAGCTTTACCGACTCGACCAGGGATCCAATTTTTCCTCCTTTTACTTTTAATATCAGAATATTCATATTTATAAATTTTTTTTTTTCTAACTTGTTATATTATTCCCAGTCAGATGTTTTCCCAAATCATGATCAACTAGTTTCCTATGTGATATCAATAAATTTTTATTCTATCAAAAAGCTACAACAGAGTAGACCATTATCCCCGCTCATGTCGGAATATGTTGTAAGGGCTTTGTCCTTATCCCTGTTCATGGTGTTTCACATTTTATAAAAATTTTCTTTTTGTAAACAAACTTTGTTAGTTCTAACTTTTGACACAGTTTGTCACTTCAAAAATATTTTTTAAATTATATTTATAATCTATTTTTAAAATAATATTTAATGCAATACTTCTGTAAATAAATTCTTTTCACTGCAGTCTTACTATACACATCCAAGCCAAAAAAAATCACAAATTTAATTCTTATACTGTTTTGTGTGTTAGTTTATTGAAATTAATATAGAATTTTACCATTTATTATTCCAGATATTGAAAAATCTTTAACTGAATGTATCTAATTATCTAATCTATTTTTAGGTTGCTAGACATTATTGATTCTTATGAAAGCCAAATATACTCACTACAGAAACAATTAGACGCCTTTAGGTAATGTTTCCCATCATCTCCTTACTAAAAACATGATAGGTTCTAGTTTTTATTTAGCTGTATTCGAAGTCTGGACAGTATTAAGTGAATCACTATTGTCACTGTTTTAATACATGTTTATTTATATTCTGTCATTGTCATTTTTGCAGAGACACTGATAAGTCATTTACTGTAGACAGAGCATATGCAACACAGCCTTCTTCAAATTTTAAAGGGATGATAAGGGTAAATGTACTTTTTTTTTCTACGCAAAGCCAAAAGCTATTTTATGATTTAGCTTTTTAAATATTTTCTAGTTTTGTAGGTTTTATAATTTAACTTTTTTTTTTAACAAATTTAGTCTTATGAGCGACAGATTAAAGAAAAAGACAAGAAGATAAAAGAACTTGAGGAAGAAAAAGATATCTTTAAGTTGGATGTGGGATTAAGGTTTGTTTGTTAAATTTAATTATGGTAATAATTGCCAAACTTTTTAAAACTGGAGATTTAATAATAGTGGCCATCTGTGAGTTTATAAATAATGTAATAGAATTTTTTAAAATTATATAATTAATGAAAACATTTTTTATCAGACCAGAATTGACAGACTACAGACTGCAAACGCAGAGGGTGAAGAAATTAGAGCAGTTGCTTCATCGCCATAATATCAGGTACCAATTCAACCACAGCTTGCTTGCTGTAATAACATTTAGGCTTAGACACTGACAACATAGCTCATATTGTATTGTTGAATTTTAACTGTTTTTTGTAACAGTATACCAGGAGAGAAATCCAATAAAGACCCATTTATACAGAGAAAAAAATTTAGCACAAGATTAGAAGACTTAGACTTTTTACCCCTGGAACAGTGCCAGTACTACCTCAAGGTAGGTTAAAAGGCTAATTTTTCTGTCATTTGAAAAGGATGAGTTACATTTAGTAAAGTATAGGACCATCTTGTGTTTACTTTGGCATTATTATATTTTACAAACAGTTATTTGAACGCCTTAAAAGGCCAATATACAGAAAAAGTTCTTATTGCAAAGAGCTTGCAGCAGTATGGTTTGCCAGGATCTGTAGCCAGATGTCTGCCTCAGCACTGAAGCCCTTATGGTCATCAGTTTTGGTTTTAATACATAACCAGCTTAGCTGAGTTTTTTTTTTAGATATGGATGTATTTTATTTCTTGAGATTTTTACCTCTCATTTCTTGAGTAATGTGAATGTTGTAATTGTACAAAAAAATTATAGCATCACTTAGATAGAATGTTGTTGTCCAGCCAGCAAAATAATTGTCATCTCTTGCCTCTCAGAATGTTTGTAAAGAGTGTGGGACTGACAACCTGGACTGCCTGACAGATGTTATCCAAGAGCTGAAGGATGAACGTAACTCTGGTGGGCGTTTTCATCAGGTGCTTAGATTGCTCTTACCTTAATGTTATGACTGTGTTTGTGGTATGAGGTGCTTATTTTCTCTGAACTGAGTGTGCTGTTTTTTAATGAGGTGCTCGTGTGCTGTTTTTTATGATGTGTTCATTTTACTCTTACCTTAATGTGATGGGGACGGAGTGGTCTAGTGGTAGAGAGCTGGACTGCTAACCCGTAAGTCTCGAGTTTGAATCCGGGTTCAAGTCAGTAGACTTTCCCTGAGTCCACCCAACCCTGATGGGTTAGGGAAAGTAAAGGCGGCTGGGCATAGTGGTGACCACGCTATCTCTTCATATGCCGAAGTCTCAGACACAAGTGAACTCTACTTCACTTGCCCTATAGACCATCAGGTTTGAAAAGAGAACTTTAATGTGATGACTGTGTTTGTTGTATGAGGTGCTAATTTTCTGTAAACTGAGTGTTTTTTTTTTATGATGTGCTAAATTTACTCTTACCTGAATGTTTTTGTATGGGGTGCTCTTACCATAATATGGTGACAATGTGTTTGCTGTATAAAGTGTCATTTTGCTCTTTCCATAATATGTCAATTTTTCTGTGATAAAATGTGGTCATCTTTTTCTGACTTTGAAAAAAGTCGACAATGTTTTTGTTGATTTGTTGCATGAAGCTATTATTTTGCTTTTACCTGGATGTTTTAGTGTTGACCACATGTTATTATACATATCTGTTGGAGCGTACACAATCTTTTTATTCTACAGTATTGCAAGGAGTTTGCAAATATAGTTGAAAGTTTAAATGACAAAAATCATAGAGGTCGCTCTTACAGTTATGACAAAAAAGTTTCTTTGATTTTAAGTGACAGTAACATGAAATACTACCTAGAGGTGAGTTTGATAACTTGTTTATTGTAATAATGGGCCTAATTACTTTCATTCTTTTACACAGGTGATTTGTTAAAATAGATTTTTTTAAATATGTGATTACCAACTTTAAAAAAAAGTTATTATGAAAATAATCATTAAAAATTGAAAATCTTCAAGATTTTGTGAAACAAAAATTTTGTTTTCTAGCTTTACAGTTATGATGTACTTAGTAATAAAAATCAAAGGTCCAAACATTTATTTCTTGTAATTTTTAGAAAAGTTTTAGTATACTGTTGCTTAGCCTATGTTCTGTTGTCTAACTTAATACATTTTAAAGTATGTTAACATCACTGGTTGTAGTATAAGTGTATGGTTAATTTTGTTTCTTTAGTTGGCAGTTACTGATAAGTACTGGTTTTTAAATTTGTAAAAAGTACTTGTATAAAAATGATCATTAGTTTTTTTTTAATCAATTACTTAGATAAGATATTTGATATGCATTTTGGTTAATGTTATAAAGAACTAGTACATTCAATTATTATTTTTTTTAATCAAGTAGGCAGTAAATGAATAGGAAGAAATGTTTTAATGTGTTTGGTCACCACCTCAAGTAAAATATTTTGTTTGATGTTGGGACACTAGGTGGTTGACAACTGGAAGAAGGACATTGCTGGACTGGGTGACCTACAGGATGCCATTAACCGCCTGCTGGATAAAGTTGTGCCCTGGGTCAAAGCCCACATGGAAGGAGATCACAGTGTGGATGAGATGGTGGAGCTTGTTGAGAGGGTGATCCATGCTGAGAAAAGTGAAATGAGACCACAGGTTTGCCTAGTCTTCTAACTTACGTGTTAAATGAGACAACACATTTGTATTTATTCCCTGTCTTATGTGTAAGATTACTGGTAATTTTTAGTTGACAAAATCTAATAATAGATAAGAGAATAATTGGGACAAATGTTTATGTTTGATAAACTAAACCATTCAATGAATACATTATTGGTATATGTGTATTTCCATAAACTACAGACTCTTATGGAAGAGGTTTCTAGGTCAACACTTGAAAGCATTGTCAGCCATTTCCAGACACTGTTTGATGTACCCAAAATTTCTGGGGTTTTTCCTCGCATGAATGAAATCTACAGAGTAATAGGAGAGTCTCGCAATGTTTTAAACACACTCAAAGACTTACTTGGCCTATGTAAGTATTGTGTGTCTTTTGTTAGTTTTTATTTCTGTGAAAAGTATGAGAAATAATTTTGGCTTTATTGTAATAAAAAGTGAAGGCAGCAGAAAAATTAACACACTTGCTTACAATTGTTATTTGTTGGGATATATTGAACAGATTTTTTTCAAATTTCAGGCTAAATTTTATTTCGTATTTGAGTTGAATTTTAATTTTTAAAAATTTAGCTCCAGATATTCACAACTCAGGCCTGGTTGATGCAGTTGGTCGACTGTTCCATGCACACAACTCTACCACAGCTAAACAGCTTAAGAAATTGATGCAGACTGATGACTTGAATGGGTACTTTTTTCTGTGTAACATTTTATAAGATCCATGCACATTATTAGATCTTCAACATTTGTTTTCTGTAAACTTAGTGCTCAATAAGATTTACTTGTATATATATTTTCTACCAAGAATTAAAAGCATCAATTAAATTTAATGTGTTACTGATCCTTATTTAGAATGTTTTTATAGAGGGCCCTACAAAATATGTAATAACAATGATATAGAAATAAAGTATACAGATTAGCATTGTACCAGAATGTCTTGTATCAATAAGGATTTATACATTTCCAGGATCATCAGAAGATTAGAAGAGCATTCAGAATTTTTTCCTGCTTTCCAAGGAATAATACACAAACTTTTTGATATCTTAGGTAAGTATTGTTTTTTTTTCATTATTGAAATTTTGAAAATTTTAACACAAACTAATTATTGAAGTAATTTCACTCAACTAAAGCAAGTATTGTAATCTAATGCTTCTTGTACTCCTCAGAGATAAAATTTTGATGTTTTCTATTTATTTAATTTATTGTAATGTTAATGTAGAATAAAAAGTTGAGTTTGTTTATTAAGATTACTTGTAAGCTTATTAACAATTTGAAAATTTTTAAATTCATTTTCAAGGTGTCGACAAAATGGATGAAATACTTCCAGCAGTTAGAGCGCTTAAACTTTTAGCCAAATAAACTCATAGACTAGAATAAAACCTTACAACTTTGTACAATCAAATAAAAATGGACAAATTTCAAAACTGGTGAAGATATGAGGTTTCTCCAAGTTTTTGTAGTGCTAGTTCCTGTTACCTATAACTGTTGTATTCATAGTTTTGTAATCCACCATCATGTATTTTACAGCTATTGATTTCAATATACCCCGAAAGTTTCATTTGTGTGGAGCGTTTGCTAATATTAAGTGAGAGTGGGAAGTGACTGTCTATTTTGAAAAAATGCTAACAATGGCAGAAGTTTGAATCTATTAATATCAAACCAATCCCCACAGTAGTTTGGTCTGACAAAGATCTTAAGATCAAGTAGAATCTTCTAATTTTCTCAAATAACTTCAATCTTCGTCCTCATAATTCTTTGAGCAGATTATTATTAAATCTCTTCCAATGTTGAAAGCTATTAAATCTCAATTTGAACTAATGGATTTTGTTTTATATCTTTTTATAAAAGCTAATAATCATAATAAAATAGTGACAATGCTTCAAGTTCAGCGTGCAGCAACTATTTTAAGTGTCTATTGAATCCAAATTAATTTTGATATAAATGCCACCTATAACTACTATAAACAAACATTTTTGATTAACCTATTCTTTTAAAAAATCAACAACAATAACACAAATGTATTGTTTATTCTATTTAATAACTTATTTATAATGAATTCATCTTATTTTACATTTTCTAATAAATTGTATGAAAAAATTTCATTTCTGTGTTGATTATTATGGAGACAACCATACATATAATATACAATTTTTTCACCCTTGTGCCACATCATAAACAAAAAAACCTAAGTAATGCTAATTTACTTTAGACATACCATTTTTGATGCAATGTTGTAACATTTTTGAAAGACCCTTCTATCAAACTATTTGGATTTATGGCACCTAAATATAAACTTACATTCCAATATTCATACAATTTGTATCAGGCAACAATTATTTATAACCATTAATGTGAGAGAAAACAAATCTGCATCAGGCCTTGAATAGGAATTAACCTTTGTATTCTATTCTTGATGGAATCTTTGACTGTGGTAGTGGTTTGGGTGCATAGACTTTTTCTTTTGGGCCGTAATACTTAAAAAAAATGTAAAAAGCCAAGATGAGTTAATAGCTTAGATTATTAGTACAATATTAGTTTTAAAATTATTCAAAACTAGACTTGGCTTACTGAATGAAATACATAGTCAGCTCTTTTGTTTTATTTTTGTTAATTCTGTGAACTCATTTAGACCAACCAAAGTTTTGCAATTCCCTACAGATACAGGTTAGGTCTATAAGCCTGTGCAGATGTTATGTAGGCAGATGTTATGTTAGGACTAGATGGGTACAATTTTTAGAGTTTATATAACTGATAAATGCTGCCATAGACAATTCCTTGCAAGCCAGAAAAAAGATACAGCTTATGGCTTATTTAATTTGGTCAATGACTAAAACTTGAAGGGATTATAGTATATACCTCCTTGCCAACAGTTACACAGTGAAAGGACAATATTATTTATTATATTGACTTCCCCTGGCTGTACAATAGGATTCTACATTACAAATTACAACAGGAAAAAGTGGATGTTGGATTGGCTACACATCAGGGCATCAGTATACTAGTGACTGGAGAATCATCACAACCAAGATGTCAAGAACAGGAGTGATTTCTGTGCACAGTTATGGGCCTAAAACTAAGGGAATGGTTAAATAATAACAATCTTCATTGTGAATTTTCTCAGTTTTCCCACCATGATCACCCAACCCTGTAAGTCAACATCATGCTCATATACATCATTACATAGACAACTATTATGTGTTCAGTAAATGCAGATATTTGGGATGGAAATTTACATTAATAAAAGTATTTTAGATTTTTACATAAAACAGAACTACATAGAAGCTGCCTTAACAAATCAGAAACATCTTTTTAAGTTTCATCAGAATGAAATAATAATCTATAATAATAGTTTCGCTGTCTGTGTATCTATCTATCTATGTATCTGACAAGAACGTTATAGAGAAAACACAAGCAGAGTAAAAACTTTCAAAGTAAAACAAAACGAAACGTGACGTCACATGGAGCATATAGTAGGAAAGAGTCGAAAGCCTGGAGAGTGCACACAACAATATGACGTCATTGATTCGAGTAAACAATAGATTTAAAATCCAATTTTGTCTAATCTGAGAAGTGCTTTGCGTGCAGATTTTCTTTCATGCAATTTTTCGGGTAGGGGCAAAGCCCCACACCCGCCAAAGAACGTCTAAGACGCCCTCCACCCCAACTCAAAAGAAATGTCGTCATCGATACTCTATAATAAAATTACCGCCTAATTAATGTGTCCAATCTAAAAAGTGGTTTGCTTGCAGAGTTTCTTTCATGCGAAGCCCATTATTGAAATTAGTTGCATGGTTTAGGAGTATGGCTGCAACTATATTTAGTATCAATGTGCAGTAACTACCTAGAGATCAAGATTAAATCCTATTAAATTTAAAGTACTGATTCTGGATAAAAATCCGTTTTCAATGTCATTTTTCGTTTACGGTTAAATTGAATTAAGGTGGTGATTTTGGTTTTAGTTTAGAGGAAATAGACAGCACTATCAACCTAGCGCCCGTTGTATCCTCAATGAGCCATTTTTCTCGTTATAAAGATTAATCTAACCAACTAGCTACATCATTGTACAGTTATAAAAAATGTGACAGTAAAATTTAGAATTTGATAACTTTAAAAACCCAGGTCAATACATGAAATTAGGCTAGTTGAATACGAGAATGAGCTTAAAAGTGAAAACTGGATGGTAGAATACTTAGCAGTTATTTAACAAAATTATTCTTTAACTTGTCCTTACCCACATGGCACCAGCCAGGCCAGCAAACGATAACGGGATGATCTGAAAATAGATTCACAAAAAAATTTTAAATCACAGAAAATCTTAAAAAAGATTGTAAAGTAATAAAGTAAAAAAAAAAATGTATTCACAATTTGGTAGTAATTACTAATAGTAATAATAACATGATGACAGAGGACGTCAGACAAGAGGGCTCATGGTAGCTAACTACAAAAGCCCAGAATTTGGACCCAGGCAAATGAAGCTTGGGACAACAACACTTGGGTGAACAAACACAACAGGCGCAAGTCCAGAAAGAAAAGCAGGCATAGCTTGTAAAATAACATTTGTTGGAACCAGGTTAATTAAAGCCCTAACCATAGATTAAGTTTTCATTTTTAAGTTTAGTTTCAGTATTCTTTATCTTCCAACTTTTTTTTTCATTTTTGTTAGATTCATTAGGTGCAAGTTCTGAATTAAAGATCTCTACGCTACAGATCGTAGGATATATCTCTAACAAAGTAACAGCACTTCTGAAAAATGTTCCTTTATTAATGTATATAAAATGAATGTATGTCTGTCTCAGTCTGTCTAATGCATTACAACACCATTCATTTGAATGCTCTGAAACTTTGGGAAGTTGATAATTGCACTCCAGGTGGTGTTTCAGCTATTAAAAAAAAATTTAGTTTATCAGAGTGGCAGCATCCTGGTGGTAGTATATGTTGGGGTGCCAGAGTTACCAAGCAGCTACATCAGTATATGGGGTATGTTATGCATCCTGCACCAGATCAGCCTCCAGGCTTCCCTATGAGCACTTTTCACATTCATTTTCAATAAAAGGCGTGCTAGATTGGATATAGTGGTCTACTACAATTGATGCATACTTTAAATCAGTTGGGTCTTCTGGCGCCCGAAATTCATTAAATTGAATCTTGAGTCAAATGCTCATTCTTCAAAGGGGCATCTTTGGGCAACCTGACATTCGTGTGACCTGGAGCGCCCCTGTTGTTTCATATGAGGACTACTACTATGGCCTAAAGAAAGTAGACTGTAAACAAGCTATATATTTTATATAATTATAATATACATCATATAGGGCCTAGATCTATAATAATCTATATATACAATTCTCTGTCACCCAACCATGCGGGACATCACCACCACACATGCACACCAACTCTCTAACTCTCCTACCGCCCCCTCCCGCATTTTCCAGATCATATAGCTATCACCACCACCATTCTCATCATTCTGGTGAGCTGTGGTTCACGCCAAATGTTTACAATCATAGAGCCAGGTTGAATGACGGCTATTAGGGACAGATAAGTTTCTAAATGATTATAAATTAAGGGGAGGTTACAAGTTCTGCTTGATCTTTGTTGTCTGTAAACTGTCATCACGGACGGCTGCTTTCAAAGGGGGGGGGGGGGGAATAATTATCCTTCACGAGCTACTGCGTTTTAAAGAAAAATATATTCAGTTGCAGCATTGGTAGTGTCAAAGCTGAGATTGAAAAAAAAACCAAAATCAATGGCTAAGTATATCAATATTATATTATTAAATATAATAGATCTAGGTCAGAAATTAACTTTAAACAGCAGTGTTTGCGAGCAAGATTTGCTATATAATTATAAACCATGGCCATCTGTCAATTAGAGTGGTTATCCCTGAATCTCCAACTATAATTTTACCAAAAAAACTTCGCTAGTCTTTATTTAGAATTTAGGCCCAGTTACTGAAAAGTTAATAATACAATTGATTAAAAACAGGTACATGAAAGAAACATTTTTGTAACTTTCAAAACATTATTACTCCTACTAAAAATGTGAAATAATTACTAATTAGCCTACTAAAATTTAATGAGTCTCCTTTTTTCACATTACTAGTCACTAGTCTCGGCTGAATTTACGTACCTAAATTATAGGCCTACTAAATATAATAGTAAAATGTCCTAAAACGATAGATTACAAAAATTTAGAAGTAGGCCCTATGGCTATGCCCTATTTAATTTATTCAATCATCATTGAATTTCAATCATTGGAATGATTGGATTCATTGGACAACTGACATTTTTATTTTTTAGGCCTTGGCCCCTAATTAATTATAATTAATTAATTATAGTTTATTATAGGCCTAGGCTTATTATAATAAAATGGTAATCTATCGTTTTAGGTACATAAAATCGCCCGCGGCTAGTAATGTACGAAAAAGTTACCTCATTGTCAAGGCTTTAATAGAAGTATATTGTGATATATTTGTGTCAAATATTATAGATACATGAATAATAAACCTAAATCAATGGCTAAATATATCAATATAAGCAAGAAATTAACTTTAAACAGCTGTGTTTGCGAGCAGGATTTGCTATATAAAAAGCGGCCATCTGTAAGTTAGAGTGGCTTCCCCTGAATCTTGCGCTATAAGTTTACAATAAAAAAAAATAAACAAGATGGCTGCTATAGTAAATGATCATGGGGTCATCCATAAATGACGTCACACTCGTAGGGGGGAGAGGGGGTCCGTAATTTTGTGACGATGTGTGATGAGGGGGAGGGGGTTCAGATGTTGTGACGTCACATTTTTGCATTATAAAAAAGCAATGTTAGAAAACGAATTTTAGACGTTATTTTGCATTTTAGATAACTGTTTTAATAAATTGTAATAGTTTAGACAAGATTTTGGAAAAATATCGATGTTTTAAAAAAATTCAACTGCAATTTTGAGGGGGGTTGTAGGTTGAGGTGTGATGTCATTTTAGGGGGGGGGTCTGACTTTTTGTGACGACGTGTGACGGAGGGGAGGGGGGGAGGTAAAAATCGTCAAAAAAAGCGTGACGTCATTTGGATGACCCCCCCATGGTTGCATCTGTTGGAAACATAGGTAATCTATCGTTTTGGGTACGTAAAATCGCCCGCGACTAGTAATGTGAAAAACAGGTGACTCCTTAAATTTTAATAATTATTTCACATTTTGAGGAGGATTTATGTTTTGAAAAATACAAAAATGTTTCCTTCTTTCATTTATGTACCTGTTTTTAAACAATTGAATTAAAACTTTTCAGTAATAAATGAAGACTAGCGATGTTTCCAACAGATGCAACCATGCTCATTTACTATAGCAGCCATCTTGTTTAAGTTTTTTTTTATAGCGGATATAGCGCGAGACAGGCGGAAGTCACTCTATTTTACAAATGGCTGCTGTTTATATAGCAAATCTTGCTTGCAAACACTGCTGTTTAAAGTTAATTTCTGGCATATATTGATATATTTAGCCATTGATTTAGGTTTATTATTCATTTATCTATAATATTTGACACAAATATATCACAATATACTTCTACTAAAGCCTTGACAATGAGGTAACTTTTTCGTACATTAATAGCCGCGGGCGATTTTACGTACCCAAAACGATAGATTACCGAAACATAGCTAGCTACTAGCTAGTCTTCATTTATTACTGAAAAACAGGTATATAAATGAAACAAGGAAATATTTTTGTATTTTTCAAAACATAAATCCTCCTCAAAATGTGAAATAATTATTAAAATTTAAGGAGTCACCTCTTTTTCACATTGCTAGTCGCGGGCGATTTTACGTTCCTAAAACGATAGATTACTTTAAAAATAAAATTACTAGAATCTACTAGATAATCTAGATTACCAATAAAATTAATAATTTAAGATGTTGCGTACCAATCTTTTGTTAAGCAAATAATTAAGAAGTGACATTGCGTGGTTTTAAACGTTTGTCTAAAGAAAAAAACAAATATGTAGATCTAGATCTAGAATCTAGATTTAGAGGTTGGTGTACAGTTAAGTTAGTAAATTGCGTTATATTATTTGTATGGTCTCTAGAATCTAGTCCTATCCTTTTGAAAGTTAAAACTGGGCTAAGTATCGCAATGATATTTATTTGCTGGCGTACGCCAGATTAAGAAAAAAAATCTATAACGTATCGTGACCAGTGACGGTGACTTAAAAAAATAATGATAAAACATTTTTATGGTAAATGGCAAGTTTTTATTTATTCAATAACAGAAAAAACACTAAATTAAAAAGAACATAATAAAAAGATTTTCTTTTAATATAACAATGCACAACTTATAGTTAGACCTATATGTCCAGGGCCGGCGCTACCCAAGCGAACTAGGCGGTTGCATAGGGCGCTATCCATAGGGGGGGGGCGCAAAAATGTGTAATCGCCATTATTACAAAGTACCTAATAATTAATAACTTTGATTATATTATATATATTATAAACAGGGTAATATACAAAGGCGTAGCAATCAATTGCTACTGTCAATTTGGCGCCCCCTCCCCAAATTAGGCCTACATATAGTTATTCAGGTTGGTGAAAATACCCTCTCCACCCCCTTCACCTCCGTCATTTGGAAAGATCGGGGCGCTTTTTACCAGTCACTTCTCCTTTATATTTTGGTGTCACACAAAAAATATGTCAGTAACAATTAAATAAGTCCGTAACGCCAAGTAGCAGTCAACATTTTTTTTATTTCGACTGTACATAATTCAGAAATGAGATTTTTATATTATTTACCACGTTTAGAGCCCCCTTTGGGTCGGCCCCTGTGTCGGCCGCCCCATCCGCCCTCCCCTAGCCACGCCTCTGTTAATATAATGAGATAATTATTGGAGCTAATTATTGTATTCACTCTAAATCTTTTAATTTCGATTATTTCAGATGATTATCTCATTTTAATGGTGATTTAGCGATCGATCTAGCACATGACGCGATCTAGCACATGACGCGACGTTGTAAAACATGTGCAATTTTGTTTTTTTAAATGGGCTTGTAAGTCGTTTTCTCTCACTTTGAATTAGAATTTGAAGTGAGTTAAAACAAATTAATATTCTATTATGCTTTCTTCGCTACGCCTCTGATACTTACTGACTGCTAACATTTAGAAACGTCGTTGAAACATAACGCTAATAAAGATATTGATCATCTTTGCAATGAGCTTCAAGTATAATCTACTCATAGATCTATATAAAATATAAAGTCACTCAAATACTGATAAAAGTGGTAGTATATTTATTTGAAGCTAAAATAACATTACCATAACGGCACTTCAGTTGATTAATTAAACATATTCCAATCTATATTTCTGACTAAATAATTAAAAAGTTTAGACCTTTGCTTATCTTTTTTTAGTCGAGATGTTTCCCAACTTTTGGAACCGTAATTTTTGTGTTTTCCCCTGTATGTTACCGTCATATTCAGGGGTGGGGGGGGGGGGGGGGCACTTAAATTTCTAAAGTAGGGCGGACACTGGTTAAAGTACATATTTTCTATACAAATGATATTTTTTTCTATTTTTTCCGGGGGGGGGGGGGGGCGGTGGGGGATAAAGAAAGCAGTGTTTCTTTCAGACTTGTTTCACCGGAGGGGGGGGGGGGGAGGGACGACTTAAAATTTTCAAGGGGTGGGGCGGACTATATTTAACGGGGAGGTCTGGCAGACATTGGAAAAAGTATATATTTTCTATTTCCTTCGCCCCCCCCCCCTCGAAGAGATGCCTAAAAGAAACTCTGGGGGTGGGGAGGTGGAAAATGCTCCGAGGGCAGTGCTCGCTAATCCTATTTGCAAGTTCTTTGAGTTAACCCTCTCCTTTTAGTGAACGCATATTCCAAATTCGAATTTTGTTTTGGCGTCGATCCTAGTTTTTGGTAGACCAGTGATATTATACTCTTTAAACTTGATTTGCTGAGCCAAAGCTAAAAACCCAAATTTAAACTCTTTTGTATGGGACTAAAAATCAAATTACCTCTGGCATCAATACGTTTTTAATTGTATACAATGATGTTGCAGAGGTGCCTGTAAATTCCCCCCCCCCCCGCTCCATTACCTACCAGATGAAGGCACCGTATCAATTTTTTTTTAGAGTTAGGAAATTTCTGATGGGTACCTTACACGCGTTAGGGTAAGTAATGCGTCTGGGCATAGTGCAGATCACACCATCCTTTCATATGCCGAGGTTAAAAAACCTTAAGAACTCTACTTCATCTACCCTATGAATCGTTTACTCATTAAGGTGAAATTTACTACTTTTGGTAGCGGGGTGGGTTAACGTGCACAATTCTAGAAATTTAATTGTGTTCTAACAAGCATCAAATTGATGATTCATTTAACACGTTATTTGTTTGAAATTAGATATTCTTGTGTTGTCATCAAAAATAAGCTTGGAGAACGTTCGAAAAATAGATATGGGTCAAAATGTATTTACAAGATTTGACAACAAACAGAAAGGCATTGTAATGTCACTTTATTAGTGCAGGCAATAAAACATAACTAGAATGACAATATTTTATTGATTCATTTTCTTTAAAAAAAAAAGGTTGCCCCCACACAAAACAAACTTATAGCTAAGGAATTTGCCTGAAAACATTATTATAATCATGCCATGTTTCTGTAAACGTAAGTACATGCTGGTGTGGCGAACTTCTTCCTATCATTCACCATCTTGGCTTATAGATCCGGCATGTCTTTTGGTTTACTCAGCTTGGAATAGTCGGTAGTCGGTGAGTAGAACTAGAAGGAATATTATGTATATAAATAAATAATTATATGCGCGCCTTTATATATATATATATATATATATATATATATATATATATATATATATATATATATATATATATATATATATATATATATATATATATATATATACATTTTCCGGGTAGAGTGGACGCTGGTAAAAGATATCGAGGGTATAGAGGACAAATGCAGTATGTCCACTTTTTGTGTGAAATTGATGTACATTTGTACTTATATTGTAAATAATACAAGCTACAAGAACACGTATGTACACTGTCAGAAAAGTAGAATACAAATATTTTATGAATGTTTAAACATAATATTTTGCACTATTTTAGTATTAAAATTAAAATGAGATTTATAAATTTATTTGTCTCGAGATTATGTTGTTGTTTTTTCTTTTTTGGACAATCTGCATTTGTCCTCTATCCCCTATATATTTTCTATATAAATTCTATTTCGTTCTATGCCTGAAAGAACCTCTGCTTGTGATCCGAACTCGGGTAGGCAGGATTTTGCTCTTTTATTTGACCACATATTTATTTATTTAGTTATATATTTATACTATATAGGGTTCAAAGGGATCAAATGCAATGCTCATAGAATCAAAGAGTAGAATCAATCAACATTAAATACATACCTTCGCCTGTTTGTTCCAGGGCCATTTCAAATTGGAAGTTCCCTCGTGTTTATTCGACCAGCTGTAGGTAGAAATACACACTTTTACATTTATCCCAAGTGCTAACGTATAAAGTAGAAAAACACACCTTCACATTTATCCCAAGTGCTAACGTGTACGTAGAAATACACACTTTTACATGTATCCCAAGTGCAAGCGTATAAAGATGAAAACACACTTTTATATCAGTCTACTTGCTAATTATCGCCGATATTAGACCTCATGTTATAGGTATTGTATATCTTCACGTGAAAGTAGACTATGTGGATCCCAACCCCTATAGGGCTGGTAAGTAGGTCACCAACCAGTTCTACGGCTCAATAAAACCTGCATGAGACATACAACTGGTTGATGACCTACTTACCAGCCCTATAGTTACATAACTTGCAATGACATTTCTCCCACCCCTCCCTCTGACACGAAAGACGACATAGCTTAGTAAATCAAAATGATCATGTGATTTATAAATAAACGATAGGAATCAAGTATGTTCGGGAGACGTTAATATATAACGCCACGCATTTTAAGATGCTTTACCCCCACACACCCGATAATTAAAGAAATCCCCCCCCCCTCCCAAGGACACCACACTCAAGTTTACCACTGTTAGGACTCGCTTTCGTTCCATTCAACAAAATGTTACACAGTTGCTGTCTAGCCCCACAAACCCTTCGACCATAGGGTAGCAACACATAAAATAAAACACACTGGGTGAACTCAACTCACAGACACAAGGGGTGAACTCAACTCACTGACACACGGACCCGGGCTTCTAGACTATTCTAACCTGACCTACCAATGACCCGTAAAAACTACTTTTTTTCCAAATATGCAACATATTTTAAACAAGAAGTGCGATAAAACGGCTAAAATACAGTTTAAAAATAAATAAATACAACAGTGGACATCACACAGTGAGCCCTCTTCTTCTCTCATCGCACATTATGCCCTGTTCCTCCATCATCACACATTATGCCATGTTCCTCCATCATCACACATTGTGCCATGTTCCTCCATCATCACACATTGTGCCATGTTCCTCCATCATCACACATTGTGCCATGTTCCTCCATCATCACACATTGTGCCATGTTCCTCCATCATCACACATTGTGCCATGTTCCTCCATCATCACACATTATGCCCTGTTCCTCCATCATCACACATTATGCCCTGTTCCTCCATCATCACACATTATGCCATGTTCCTCCATCATCACACATTGTGCCATGTTCCTCCATCATCACACATTGTGCCATGTTCCTCCATCATCACACATTGTGCCATGTTCCTCCATCATCACACATTGTGCCATGTTCCTCCATCATCACACATTGTGCCATGTTCCTCCATCATCACACATTGTGCCATGTTCCTCCATCATCACACATTATGCCCTGTTCCTCCATCATCACACATTATGCCCTGTTTCTCCCCACACATTGTGCCCTGTTCCTCCATCATCACACATTATGCCCTGTTTCTCCCCACACATTGTGCCCGGTTCCTCCATCATCACACATTATGCCCTGTTCCTCTTTATCACACATTATGCCCTGTTCCTCCATCATCACACATTGTGCCCGGTTCCTCCATCATCACACATTATGCCCTGTTCCTCCATCATCACACATTATGCCCTGTTCCTCCATCATCACACATTATGCCCTGTTCCTCCATCATCACACATTATGCCCGGTTCCTCCATCATCACACATTGTGCCCGGTTCCTCCATCATCACACATTATGCCCTGTTTCTCCCCACACATTGTGCCCTGTACCTCCATCATCACACATTATGCCCTGTTTCTCCCCACACATTATGCCCTGTTCCTCTTTATCACACATTATGCCCGGTTCCTCCATCATCACACATTGTGCCCGGTTCCTCCATCATCACACATTATGCCCTGTTCCTCCATCATCACACATTATGCCCTGTTCCTCCATCATCACACATTATGCCCTGTTTCTCCCCACACATTGTGCCCGGTTCCTCCATCATCACACATTATGCCCTGTTCCTCCATCATCACACATTGTGCCCGGTTCCTCCATCATCACACATTATGCCCGGTTCCTCCATCATCACACATTGTGCCCGGTTCCTCCATAATCACACATTATGTCCTGTTCCTCCATCATCACACATTATGCCCTCTTCTCTCATCACACATTATGCCCTGTTCCTCCATCATCACACAGTGTGCCCTGTTCCTCCATCATCACACATTATGCCCTCTTCTCTCATCACACATTATGCCCTGTTCCTCCATCATCACACATTATGTCCTGTTCCTCCATCATCACACATTATGCCCTCTTCTCTCATCACACATTATGCCCTGTTCCTCCATCATCACACATTATGTCCTGTTCCTCCATCATCACACATTATGCCCTCTTCTCTCATCACACATTATGCCCTGTTCCTCCATCATCACACATTGTGCCCTGTTCCTCCATCATCACACATTATGCCCTGTTCCTCCATCATCACACATTATGTCCTGTTCCTCCATCATCACACATTATGCCCTGTTCCTCCATCATCACACATTATGCCCTGTTCCTCCATCATCACACATTATGCCCTGTTCCTCCATCATCACACATTATGCCCTCTTCTCTCATCACACATTATGCCCTGTTCCTCCATCATCACACATTGTGTCCTGTTCCTCCATCATCACACAGTGTGCCCTGTTCCTCCATCATCACACATTATGCCCTGTTCCTCCATCATCACACATTATGCCCGGTTCCTCCATCATCACACATTGTGTCCGGTTCCTCCATCATCACACATTATGCCCTGTTCCTCCATCATCACACATTATGTCCTGTTCCTCCATCATCACACATTATGCCCTCTTCTCTCATCACACATTATGCCCTGTTCCTCCATCATCACACAGTGTGCCCTGTTCCTCCATCATCACATATTATGCCCTGTTCCTCCATCATCACACATTATGCCCTGTTCCTCCATCATCACACATTGTGCCCGGTTCCTCCATCATCACACATTATGCCCTGTTTCTCCATCATCACACATTATGCCCTCTTCTCTCATCACACATTATGCCCTGTTCCTCCATCATCACACATTGTGTCCTGTTCCTCCATCATCACACAGTGTGCCCTGTTCCTCCATCATCACACATTATGCCCTGTTCCTCCATCATCACACATTATGCCCGGTTCCTCCATCATCACACATTGTGTCCGGTTCCTCCATCATCACACATTATGCCCTATTCCTCCATCATCACACATTATGTCCTGTTCCTCCATCATCACACATTATGCCCTCTTCTCTCATCACACATTATGCCCTGTTCCTCCATCATCACACAGTGTGCCCTGTTCCTCCATCATCACACATTATGCCCTGTTCCTCCATCATCACACATTATGCCCTGTTCCTCCATCATCACACATTGTGCCCGGTTCCTCCATCATCACACATTATGCCCTGTTCCTCCATCATCACACATTATGCCCTGTTCCTCCATCATCACACATTATGCCCTGTTCCTCCATCATCACACATTATGTCCTGTTCCTCCATCATCACACATTATGCCCTCTTCTCTCATCACACATTATGCCCTGTTCCTCCATCATCACACATTGTGTCCTGTTCCTCCATCATCACACATTGTGCCCGGTTCCTCCATCATCACACATTGTGCCCGGTTCCTCCATCATCACACATTATGCCCTGTTCCTCCATCATCACACATTGTGTCCTGTTCCTCCATCATCACACAGTGTGCCCTGTTCCTCCATCATCACACATTATGCCCTGTTCCTCCATCATCACACATTATGCCCGGTTCCTCCATCATCACACATTGTGTCCGGTTCCTCCATCATCACACATTATGCCCTGTTCCTCCATCATCACACATTATGTCCTGTTCCTCCATCATCACACATTATGCCCTCTTCTCTCATCACACATTATGCCCTGTTCCTCCATCATCACACAGTGTGCCCTGTTCCTCCATCATCACACATTATGCCCTGTTCCTCCATCATCACACATTATGCTCTGTTCCTCCATCATCACACATTGTGCCCGGTTCCTCCATCATCACACATTATGCCCTGTTCCTCCATCATCACACATTATGCCCTGTTCCTCCATCATCACACATTATGCCCTGTTCCTCCATCATCACACATTATGCCCTCTTCTCTCATCACACATTGTGCCCGGTTCCTCCATCATCACACATTGTGCCCGGTTCCTCCATCATCACACATTGTGCCCGGTTCCTCCATCATCACACATTATGCCCTGTTCCTCCATCATCACACATTATGCCCTGTTCCTCCATCATCACACATTATGCCCTGTTCCTCCATCATCACACATTGTGTCCTGTTCCTCCATCATCACACATTATGCCCTGTTCCTCCATCATCACACATTATGCCCTGTTGCTCCATCATCACACATTATGCCCTGTTCCTCCATCATCACACATTATGCCCGGTTCCTCCATCATCACACATTGTGCCCGGTTCCTCCATCATCACACATTATGCCCGGTTCCTCCATCATCACACATTGTGCCCGGTTCCTCCATCATCACACATTATGCCATGTTTCTCCCCACACATTGTGCCCTGTACCTCCATCATCACACAGTATGCCCTCTTCTTCCCTCATCACATATGCCCTGTCCCTCATCACAAAATAGCAAAAGTCTGATCCCCCTCCCTATAGAGCGTGATTTTTTTATGAACGACCCAGTCAGAGAGAATGTTTGGCATTACTCACATGCTATATAATACAGAGAGGTGATAAGGTAGTTAAACATTTTGTCTATATTGTATGCTATATGGGGGGGGGGGGGTGTCAAGAGCCGTGTAACAGCCTATAAGATTTTGCTGATATTGATACGATTTCCACTGCTAGTTAGCTGTTTATTTTTAATTTCCCGAATAGATGCAGGAATTGCGTCTGTAATTTTAATAAGTTCATGAATTATGACAAAATACTTCGCGTGGAATAATCTAACAGTTGTTTCATGAAAATGTTGCAGTTAAACATACTTTGTATAGCTCATTGTTTTATTGGGTATTAAAAAATTGTGTCCTGTAAAACGGCTTGTAAAATCGTTACACAACATTTAAGGGGTTAGGGTTGTGTGTAAAAATGTTAATATTTCGATTAAATTCAATATTTTTTTTACATTTTATTCATAAGAATAATTTCAATTGCAACAAGTTACAGTTGAAATAAAAAAAATAACGTTACTGAAAATATGCAAGCTAGTTAACAACAGAAGTACGCCTATAACACCAAATTTTTAAAAATTAGAATAAAGAAAATTAAAGCTGTTATATAACGTTACTTTATAACATCCCCTACTTAAGTGAACACAATTAAAGATAATTACAAACGACTTAATCCCAGAGGCGTAGCGACCCTTCCCGGCGCCCGGGGACAAACTTTTCGATTTGCACCCCCTCAAGATTTCGATTTGCACCCCCCTCAAGATTTCGATTTGCACCCCCCCCCCGTCAAACTTTTGATTTGCACCTCTCTCAACCTTTCAATTTATTTTTCCAACCCATTTTGGCGCCCCCTAAGGTTGGCGCCCGGGGACATATGTCCCCCCCGCCCCCTCGCTACGCTACTGCTTAATCCTGGAGTAGGACTGTCGAAAGAGAAGCAAGTGCTGCTGGGACTACGTGGGCTCAACTAAAGAGAGCTGCCCGAAATAGTCTGATGGAGAGGAGAAGCTGCAGCCCTTTGCTTTTCAGGAACTTCAAAGGCATAAGACCAGAGTTTCTTCCAGGCATCTCTTCTACCCCCCCCCCCCCCCCCGAACGAAATGAAATTTATATAGAAAATATATACTTTTAACAGTGTCCGCCCCCCCCCCCGAAGAAAGTCTACCGCCCCCCCCCCCCCGAAAATTTCAAGTGCCTCCCCCCCCCCCCTCCGGAGAAAAAAGTCTGGAAGAAACACTGCATAAGACAAACTACACACTGTGTCACAGCATGCATGTACGATAACGTAACTAGTCCAAAATCTAACCCTAACCTAAGCAACGTCTTGAGAGTGCTCATGTAATAATCACCAATACCAGTGCTATTAATACGACAGTGAAGCAAATGGTCAAGGGGTTAAACCATCAAACCAACACTCGGGATTTCGATGTGATGGGGATTGCAATGGGGTGGGATTGGCCGTGATGGATTCCCCGCATGAGATGTAAACTCCTTCTTCCTCCTCCCTCTTCAAGCACTGGCACAAAAAACAAACATGGCATATCACTGTGAAAGACACAAGTTAGGCTAGGTCCTAAAGCAAGACTTACGCCACATCCGGGTTTCTTGTAGCTGTACGGAAAAGACAGAAAGACGACAAGGTTACTCCGTACACAATGACGCCATACACGGGAATCAGCTGAAAATATAAACAATAACATCAGCTGAAAATAAACAATAACATCAGCAGAAAATAAACAGTAAACAATAACATCAGCAGAAAATAAACAGTAAACAATAACATCAGCAGAAAATAAACAGTAAACAATAACATCAGCAGAAAATAAACAGTAAACAATAACATCAGCAGAAAATAAACAGTAAACAATAACATCAGCAGAAAATAAACAGTAAACAATAACATCAGTTGAAAATATAAACAATAACATCAGCAGAAAATATACAGTAAACAATAACATCAGCAGTAAATAAACAGTAAACAATAACATCAGCAGAAAATATACAGTAAACAATAACATCAGCAGAAAATATAAACAATAACATCAGCAGAAAATATAAACAATAACATCAGCAGAAAATAAACAGTAAACAATAACATGAGCTGAAAATATATCATAAATCAAGGGTTGTCCATGATACAATTTTACCCTACCCCCAGTGAGTGGCGTAACAGATCAGCTGGGGGTACTATGGAGATTAAAAGACTGGGGTACCTTACCCCGAAACATTCGTAGAATTTTGGGGCACTAGGAGCAGCAGATATGAAGTATACGCGCGAATACCTTCGAAAACATAGATGTATAGGAAAACATATTCAATTACTCACAATGTAGGTCTATATTTAATTTGCAGTGAAACAATCAATCAACAGCAATTAAATTTCATTGTAGACTAGGCCGCCAGTCAACATGGGCTACAACACTAACCAGGGCGCCAGTCAACACCACAACACTAACCAGGGCGCCAGTCAACACCACAACACTAACCAGGGCGCCAGTCAACACGTACTACAACACTAACCAGGGCGCCAGTCAACACGTACTAAAACACTAACCACGGCGCCAAAAAACATTTGTTACAACATTAACCAGGGCGTCAGTCAACACGTACTAAAACACTAACCAGGGCGCCAAAAACAGTTGTTACAACATTAACCAGGGCGCCAGTCAACACCACAACACTAACCAGGGCGCCAGTCAACACCTACTACAACACTAACCAGGGTGCCAGTCAACAGCTACTACAACATTAACCATTTCGCCAGCAACATCTACGCGAAGTGATCTTGACTACCATGCACACTTTTCATTGGTTAAAACGTAAGAGCTCTGAGGTGACAAAGTTGAGGTGAAACGCGAGTAAATGTATAACAGCCAACACAGTGACACTTTGATGTATACATACGCTGTAGTGTTCTTTCAACGATTTCCAGGTCATCCCTTTCATGTTTAGAGTTTGTAGCTGGTAATTAGACGATCTGCAAACTACAGACGCTCGTTTGTAGTAAACCACAGACTAAGGACGTCACAGAGAAGCTGCCAGATTTTTTTCTGTTTCTATATCAAACTTTGAATTTACAATATGCAGCTATAAAATTATGATTAAGTACAGAAATGCTTTTTCTTTTTTAAGCGGGTATCAGAAATAAAAATATTTTAGTTTAGAAGGTTATTCTACTTAGCCTTCTTTTTTTTCAATTTTTCTTTAAAGTTTGGTGTTATCCATAGTGAAAAAAAAAAAAAACAACAACAACATCCACAAATGATCTCGAGAATTCAAACGAACAGTGAAACAATAAATACGATTAAATAAAAATAATATTTTTTGAAGTTTTTCAATCTATGTACTTGCCAATGTTCACATATCTTATACGATTGTTTGTAAATATGCAACGGTTTTTTTTTTCAATATATTAATGAGGTATCTACATAATTTAAAAACGTTTAAGAGTAGGTTGGCCTAAATTTATTTTCATTAAAACTTACAGGTCTATTTAAATTTCTCGTTCTTAGTTTTATAAAAGTAGAGGTAGACCTAGTCGTTGATCATAAACACCCAATGGCCTCAAAATGCCTTCCTGGTATTTTATGTTGCCCAGCCCTAGCGTGTTTAATATTGGTGCTAAACAGTGCACACTATCAGTGTTTGTTCCAGACACTTTTTTCTCCATGGAGGGGACCCACGTGATATTTTTCGGGGGGGGGGGGGGGGGGGACACTGGCAAAAAGTATACATTTGTAATATAAATGGCGAAGAGATGCCTGGAAAAAATACTGCACACTATGGTTTGTAATATGTGTGAATGAAACTGCTTATGACTAAATAATAGCGGTGTCTCAAATCTGGATTCAGGTCAGTGGAATGTCCGTGAGTCCACCAAACTCTGTATGTCTATATTCCTATTTCCCTAGCAATGCCTGCTTCCAAACTCTCTTCATGTTACCATACAAGGGGTCATCAATAAATTGACGAATTTTACCCCCAGCCCCCAACAAATTGCAGTTCAATTATTCTTAAAACATCGGCTAAAACTCGTTTCAAAAGTGTGCGTCTTTTATGGACGACCCTCAAGATATATTCAATGAAGCTACAATTTGTCTGAATTATCGTCTATACGTGTGCGTCACTTGTTCAGTATATGAATTGCCTCATGTCAAGCCACAGGCGACTGCTTTTCAGAATCTACTGGTGATGTCAGGTTGGAAGATAATGCTCTGTAGGAAAACTTACTTTACAACCGGTCATGGAATGACAGACTTAATTTATCAAGTCCAGGCTGACCTACTTTACTCAACCGACCCAGGAGACTATTCAAATCACCAGTTATGGGCTGATCCACTGACCGCACTCTAATTATCAAATCCAAATATCTTACAGATGCCCCAAAAATTAAAGTACACCCAATTACTAGTGTGATCTGTGCTTGAGTGTGTTGTTTCTCCACACAACATAAAGGCTAGAAGAAAATTAACATTTAAACATATAACGTGTTTCATAGATCAGCCAATCAGAAATTACTAAGTGAAATACCCAAGCATAGAGATGAAGTCCATGACTATACATTCAACATAGAAACATAATTTAAAAAATAACACCACAAGGATCAGGTAACACACTTTATTCATTCATGCTTCAACATTTCAAGTGTACCATTAATTTAGAGTGAGTTGGTTAAGAAAAGAAAACTATAGGCAATATTCATTGACTTCAATTTGTGCGATAGAAGTAAATGCCCCAGATCTTTCTACTTAATATCAAAATGTAAAAAAAGAAAATAATGTGGAAGTTTATACTAATATCTGTCATTTCAGCAATCTCATTCTTTTTACTGTTTACAAAATGTATTGAAATTTATTATAAACATTTGCTGGTAAACACTAAAGCTCCAGCAGGCTTTCAAACAGCAACTAACTACATGAGTAACTCTGATTACAATGTTCTGTTGAGCCAAGTATTTAGATGTCTGGTCTCTCCTCTGGGTGTTTCAAGCTTTTGTAGTCAAGATTTGGAGAGTAAAACTGGAATGAGACAAGTTTTGAATTATTTAAGCCTGTTAGTCTATTTCTTTTAGTGCAAACAAAAAAAGTTGTATCTGGTTAAAAGATCAACAATAATGGTCGAGTTAATTGCATTCCTCTGGACAAGTGTCAGACTAAGGGTTGTCCTGAACCATTAAATTCCCCACCAGAAATGACAGGTTTAAAAATTAAAATCACCTTGTACTGTTTGTTGACTGGCCATCTCACATTTGCCATTCCTTCTTGTTTGTCCTTCCAGCTAGAAAATTAAAAAAAAAAAAAAATCAGTAGGCATTTTTAAGGTAACTAGAAAACTTTCAAATATTTTGTGTAATGAAACATGAGTGAAAAAAGAAATCTAAATAGTTACTGGTTTGTGAAATTCTATTTAAATGACAAATCATCCCCCCCCCCCCCCCAACATAATTATGCCTTTCATACAGCATGATGATGCAATTCAGATTAAAAGAAAAATGCTAAATATACAAGTTAGATCAAGTTTACTAACAGAGTCTATTATTTTCTTTTTGTACAACTCTTCAGCTAATACATGGACATGGTTAATAATAATTGGTAACATCACAACTTGTCGGTTCAAAATCCACTGTTGGTACTGTTAGTGACAATGCTGCTTATATCAATTGACTTCAATTATTTACTTTCATAGGTCAAATTAAATCATAGAATAAACAACCATACATTTAGAAATTAATCAGTATCAATTGAGTTTGATAGCATATATCAGTTTACATTCCATCAAATAAAAAAATGTGTATAGGCCTAATCTTATTAAACTTGAAACAACTTTCTAATCCATTCAAATGTAAAAATTACCCCTAACCCTTCCAATAACACAATGGTGCACAGTCAAAACGGCTGTCAATACAACCCAGCCAAAATGGCCCCAGCGTATTGACTCGCAACATATAGGCTCCAGACAAATGAATCGTATGACCACTACTGGCATAAAAGTAACCATTTTGTCCTAACTCCACCACCACTGTAACCTCTTTTAAATGCCTGAATGAAATTTTTCTTTCATGAACCAACAGCAATTCACAAACAAATCGAGCCCTTAATATCTAAATTCCTCCAATTAAATTTTTTTAATGTTTAACTTACAACAGTAAAGATCTGTTGCTTAAAATAGAGCACAGAAGTTTAAATGTATGATATACATGATGTTTACAGGATAACTGCATTTTGTTTTGATAACCTAAAAGCATACTGCTGGTAGGAATGTACAGCCTGGACCTCTCTCCCCACACACTAAGTTGAAACAGCCTACAACCGACTCATTTATGGAAGTCATAGCTAGATGACCCTTAAATTTAAAACAAATTATTTCTTATACTTATACTAGGTAAAATAATATAAAAATAAGGCCAGCCAAACAAGAGATGCATACATTGTATTACTTAAGAGTGTTGGTTAAGCTAACTCTAAACAGTATTGATGAAAGTCCCACCAGCAGGTGTCATATTCAATGAGGATGTTTCCCCGAGAGGCTAAAACCATATTGACAGGGGCCCTTTATTTAGGAGCCAAAATGACAGGGGCCCTTTATTCGGGAGCCAAAATGACAGGAGCCTATTTGTCTAATTAACGGGAGCATTTTTGTGGAGTTGTAATGACGGGAGCCGTTATGTTGAGAGCCTAAATGAGAGGGCCAGAGGTGTAGCAACCCTTCCCGGCGCCTGGGGACAAACTTTCTATTTGCACCCCCCTCAAGCTTTCAATTTATTTTTCCAACCCATTTTGGCGCCCCCTAAGGTCAGCGCCCAGGGACATATGTCGTCCCCCGCTACGCCTCTGGGCGGGGCCCATTTGGCGGGGCCGTTTAGTCGCCCTGCGCAATAAAATACTTACCCAACATCAGGGCATCTGGTTGCTAATCTCACTATGTAGTAGCCAGCCCAGGCCATACCAGCACCAACACAAACAAACAGTGGGACAAGCTGAAAAAGTTGGTTTCAAACTAGATGTACTTTTAAAACTTTTTAAAAATTGGTACAATTTCAAGGCATATCTTCACAATGCAGTTAAAATCTATATCAGTTGAATGTTTCTGTTCAGCGTTACTATCTTTCTCTAGCAAAAAGGACTTTTTACATATGGTGACATTTCAAACTGCATGATGGATGACTGATAATCAAATACTAAATTATAACAAATGTAAAAAGAGATATAATTTTATAAGTGAATTCAACTTCAACAAAACAGCTGGTTATCCACAGGCTATAATAAATGCAGGTTTACTTAATTAGGGCCTATAATATATCTATTAGAATTAGAATAATACAAGAATGTCATCATGCAGAGCGTAGATGTCAAATTTAAGCCAGCTGCTCAGTTTCAAAAAGAAAAAAAAATGCCACAAAAAATTGCGCAAGTCTATAACTTTAAAAGAAGATTAAAATTAAAAACTAGGCCTGTTTCTGCCATAGCAAATCAGATAGGCCTAATTCATTTTAAAGTCTTGCATTCAAATTAAAAATCTAAAAATATCTAACTAGACAAGCAGTTCTGATTTCCTAGCACATTGAAAACCTTAAAAAAGCTTAATGAACACAGCTGGAGAACGTCTGAGATTGGAGGTAACTTAAGTTTGCAGCCAATGACTGACTAGGATAGGCCAATCTATAGGCCTATATAAAAAGCAATGTATGTCTGTGTGTGTGTCTGTCTGTCTTTTATGCATTACTACATCTTTCATCACACCGCGTGGAACTTTGGTAAATTGTCTTTTCGAGAATACTCCTGGGGAGGTTTCTGCCGAATTTTTTTTTAATTCACAGGGGTGTCGCCCGGCAGGGCGCGATTAGTTTATTCTCTATATACGGTATATAAAAATGAAAGTCTATTGCGGTTTGACATCATACATCAGATCGCCATGAAACTTTGGTAATCTATCGTTTTAGGTACATAAAATCAGCCGAGGCTTGTAATGTGAAAAAAGGTGGCTCAATATTTTGGCTTCAATACAAGTAGGCTATATTGTGATATATTTGTGTCAAATATGATAGATAATTAAATAAAACAAAAAAAAAAATCTCTAAATGTATTAATAGGCCCTTTAGGCCACAAATTAACTTTTAAACAGCAGTGTTCGCGAGCAAGATTTGAATAAACAGAGTGGTTTTCCCTGAATTTCTGACTATAATCTTACCAAAAAACAAAACAAGATGGTGCTAAAGTAAATGAGCTTGGTTGGATCTGATGAAAACATTGCTAGATCTAGTCTTTATTTTTACTGAAAAGTTTTAATAATACAATTGTTTAAAAACAGGTAGGCCTACATTAGGCCTAATGAAACTTTGAAACATTATTGTAACTTTCAAAACATACATCATCATGATGTGAAATAATTACTAAAATTTGATGAGTCACCTTTTTTTCACATTACTAGTCTCGACCGATTTTTGTGTTTTTGTTGTGTTTATAATAAAATACGCTGAACTGGAGGTGAACGTGAAGCGGCGAATAAAATACGCTAAAATGGAGGGTAGGCCTAATCTATCGTTTTAGGTACGTAAAATAGCCTGCGACTAGTAATGTGAAAAACAGGTGATTCCTTAAATTTTAATAATTATTTCACATTTTGAGGAGGATCTGTTTTGAAAAATACAAAAATGTTTCCTTGTTTCATTTATGTACGTGTTTTTAAACAATTGAATTAAAACTTTTCAGTAATAAATGAAGACTAGCGATGTTTCCAACAGATGCAACCATGCCATCTTGTTTATTTTTTAAAAATTGTAAACTTATAGCGCTAGATTCAGGGGGAAGCCACTCTTAACTTACATATGGGCTAGAGATACTCACTAATTTTAAATTTCGTTATTTTTCGATTTAAACATTACCAATGGAAACTAGAGATCAATCTCTAATCAATCAAATACTTAATTTGTTGAAAATAAACTCATTTGGAGCTTAATTACTGATTTTTATTAATTGGCCACTCCAAGCATTGCAAGCCAAATAATCCGTGACAACCAGATCGCCATTACTTTTCTGAAGAGACGAACTCTGCAGGGTTGACCTTGCAGCTGATTTGATTTTAGCAGAATATGCACAGTACATTTGATTTTATTACCACATTTCTATTCGTATGGACACTGTCTTCGTCAGAATAAAAAATCACATAATGGAATTAGATCTAGATCTAGAATTTTTAAATATTTTTATTTAATTTTTTTTTAAATGGAAGGGTGTTTAAAAAGGAAAACTAAATTCAAATTAATGAACAACATGTTCAAGAATATATAGTATAGATCTAATCTTTTTAAAGATATTCAATCCCATGCATGTTTTATTAACTAGTGTAAGTGTTTTAGCAATGCTTAATTAGGGCAATTCATAAAATATAGCGATGTCATTGTAAAATTAATCTAACCCTCTTCTCTCACTTCACTTGGGACAGGTGTGTTATTTACAAAGTTTTGTCTATGCTCAGTTTAAAATGTAAAGATTTGTAAGTATTTGATTTATTTTAAAAAACACTGCAATAGCATTCAAATTCATCAAGTTAGCGAGAAATACATTCTAAACAGCGTCACGGGCAGTGCGCGTACAGACATCTCGCTCGCTTAGTTTTGTCAACCAGAAAAGTTAGCCTATCAAATACAATTAATTAGGCCTATAAAATAAAAATAGGCCAATCGCATTAAAATGATCGCCTGTGAGCGAAGATATATGCAAATTACAAACATCGCTAGCCCTCCTGCGTTCTTTTGTCAACCAGCGAGAGAAAACTCACAGCACAGTGTGCGCATGCGCTAAATCTATTCCAAGTACTTTGTTATCCCAAGTTATAGGCCCTAATTAACTAATTAGTATTATAGGTCTAGATTAATATAAAGTTCAAATTAAATGTATTTAATTAAGATGTGTGTCTATTTGATTTTTCAAATGTCAGCGCATAAAAATTAATCACCCGAGAGCGAGAATTAGGCCTATGCCTATGCATTCCAAACATCGACACAGGCCAAGTGTGACACACGACTCGCTCGCTCGCGCTGGTTTGTCAGCGCGAGAGGCATCGCCCGCCACAACGCCGCCGGCACAGCACACACATGTCCTAGTCCATGCGTACTTGGTTTACTAAGTACTAATTAGTAATGTAAACCTAGACTCAACGCTAAAATCATTTAATTTATCAGGCCTCTAAAATCTTAATAATATATAATAAAATATATAAATATCAGTGGCGTAGCGAGGTCGGGTGTCACCCGGTGCGGCACTTAATGGTGTCACCCCCCCAGAGGCGTAGCGACCCTTCCCGGGGACAAATTTTCGATTAGCACCCCCCCCCCTCAAACTTTCGATTTGCATCCCCCCTCAAGTTTTTCCCTATATATTTTGCTATTTTTTGCCTTGGTGTCACCCCCCCCCCCCTAAATGGTGTCACCCGGTGCGGTCCGCACCCCCGCCCCCTCGCTACGCCCCTGATAAATACATTTATATAATATAAACATTACTAAGCCTAATAAATGTATCAACGAAGACCAGTGAAAATAATATTATAATTAACCTAATTAAAATTTATGAAATCAATAAGAATTAAGACAAATTAATTAAGCTATAACAAATTTGAAAACAAATAATTAGGCCTAAATAAGCACACAAAGACCAACGCTCACTACAAATTCCAGGGATCAACACAAAATTTAAAAAAAAAAAAAAAACAGATCGTTGTGGTTTAAGGCTAAGGGCTTTTAGAGTCTTAGTATAATCCAAAAGCCAGGTGAAATATCCATAATTAGGCTTAATTAGTCTAATTACGCTAGCAAAATAAGCTGAAAAAGAGTGTCAAGTGAAAAGAATACAATTATATAATATATAAGCAGCGAGAGGATACTACTGTACAGCTTCCGTAACAATAGCGATGACGTCACAATAAAAAATTACGTGCTTTCAGTGACCTTTTTTGGCTGCCGATTTCTTAAAATGGATTCAAAATAATTACAATATTTTTTCACTAAACGATCAATCTAATAATACTCTACCTTACAGTGCCATTTAGACACGTAACAGTCCTTTATTTAAAGTTTTTAAACAACTCAAACTATACCCATGTTTCCGCTTGACCTCCATGGTCGGAAGCAAATTTAAAAAAAAAAAATCTGCCAAAAATAGCTTTGTCATCTTCAGAGAGCTTAAAATACGCGAAAAAAACGCCATTTTTCGCGTGATAATTATTTTTAAACTTAATGTTAAGGTGGTCTCTCGAACAAAGCAGAAAAAATTGCCCAATCGTATGCCCAGGTGAGGTAGCCATGTTCTGGTTAGCAACCAAGGACGCTTTAAAGTTAGTGAGCCTCGCTAATATGGGCGCTTTTTATATAGCAAATCCTGCTCGCAAACACTGCTGTCTAAAGTTAATTTCTTGCCTATATTTAATTTAGCCATTGTATCACAATATACTTCTATTAAAGCCTTGTCAATGCGGTAACTTTTTCGTACATTACTAGCCGCGGGCGATTTTACGTAGGCCTACCTAAAACGATAGGCCTAGAAAATGGAGTTTTACCCAATTTACTAGGTTGAATTATGGATTTTTTAAAATAAAATATTCTGTTATTTCAAATACACCATTAAGTTCCTTACCCCTTAAGAGAACATTTGACACCACATTTAAATATCTAGCTTATTCGGTTGACGAGAAAAGAGAGAATTTGAAAATTTAGCTAGAATCGAAAATGAACGACAAAACAAGAATCTTGCTCCTGGACCGGCATAACATGACGCCGTGGACTTGTGTGCACGAGCTTTTAATTCCCGCCATGGTAATTGCGTCAGCTTAGGTCATTTACTCACCGGAAAATAACAAAAACCAACTGGTTGATAATAAAACTAGATCTAGTTATTTTATTATTTATTAAATTCTACTCTACATGTTATTCATAACATTTTAAGAAATAATGAACACCTACATAAATCAAACGACCATAATAAATATTTTTTATTTCAAATTCTAATTTTAAATAATAAATATGCATAAAATAATATGATAGTAATAGTTAAGATAGTTTATAAATGCAAATACATTTTACACTCAATCACATTATATTGAGTCAACAGTGTGGCAGCTGAGGTTCATACATGGTATTAATGTCTTTTTTTTTACATTACATTTTTTTCTTCTTGAAAACATGACGTATGTGATTTTTTTAAAAATAAAATCTCCAAACATCAACACTCGCGTGATTGCTTGCTTATGTTTACTATCCTGTGGATGAAAAATCCCACCACGGTCGCGGGGTCACCGTGACTTCAGCAGGCCTATAGTACACGTCATAGAATGAACACGCGTACACGAGATGGTCGGTGTCTTCACTTCTCTCTCCCCCCCCCCCCCCCCCCTCTTCTTCAAGCAAATTGAAAAAGAGACCTACTTCCCTACTTCTGGTCATTTTTTTTTTTTAAAGTTCGGTCAATTTTTTTTTTAGTTCACATATCAGGCATGCTAGACAGCCAGCTGTATAAAAAAAATATTTTTTAAACTAGATCTAGATGATCTACGTCTAGCTTAAAAAAAATTAATAAATAAACGCTTAAAATGCCCGTAAACAGATTATTTAGCGGCAAAAAAAAAAAGGCCCCTGAACGAGCATTTTTTACAATACGCAGCAATGAAAAAGGCTAACGGCCAATCAATTAAGTCTAAAAATCGCCCGTAATTAGGCCTAGCTCTGAAAAAGGCCACTGAACGAGCATCACTGATTATATAAACGAATAGGCCACGCAGCGTTGACGAGGTCAACCACCGGTCACGAATGCAGCAACGGTCGGCCCACAGTGAAGAAAAAATTAATATACTAATAAAATTACTAATACAATAATAATGTCTATAATTTTACTTTTTCCACACATGCTACAATTGAATTATAATTAAAATACTAGACTTAACAGTTCATTCCGTAAAAAACAAAAACTAGTTGTTTCAGTCTGGCAACTAGCGTAACAATGACGTCATGATACTAAAAATAGCGGATAGAAATGTCAGCGTGGGTACCTCATCCTCGAGGAAGATTTTAGAAAAAGTAATCAAAAATACTGTAAATATACATGATAAATATATCAATTATATATTAATGTACAGTTAGTCGAGCCGTTTACCCCGTTAGTCGGTCGTTTTTGGCGGCGGTTCAGTTTTTACGGAGAGTGCTCCACTAGAAATCCTCTCATTATTTACAACCACGAATCTTGCGATTTTTTCTGACATTCTAAGGCATATTATCCATTTTATTAGCAATTTGCATTAAAATAATGATGAGAATTTGCGATATAAACAGTTTTTTTCATTTGTCGTGGATGGGACCCCTAAAATAAACGTAAAAACCGTCAGAAAACGATGCGTGACGTTTCAGGGTCAGAGGTCAATCCTGCCATCTAAGCAATGCGCCAGACTACAATTTACTTGAATTTACAATACAAAGGTCCAAATGCAGCAAGGGTCGTCTAGATTGAAATTATCGCTAAATATAAATAAATACAAACCGATGGATGATGCTTCAAGCTTGCCAAGGTTAATCCTTTCATAGGCATGGTGAGGTTTTACGTTTGGGCCTGTAGCAAAAATTACTTTATCACGTACGTCCCAAGCCCAATGTCAAAGTCGTCACTGGTGACTTAAGACTACCCTGCTTCACAGAAGAGTTGACAGGAAACGGAAGCGCTTACGGGCTAATCCCACCTGTCTCACCCCCCCCCTCCCTCTTTAAACTCGGGTTAAACTACTTAAACTTAAACATTATAATATTGGTATATTTAACACAAAAACATAACTCTAAATTAGAGGCAGATAAATGAGCAGTTATCTCTTGATCAACAAAAAGAGTTGCAAAACAGTTACACTTTTGGCTTGAAAAAAAAAGTTTTTAACGCTTTAATATTTTGCGTCGCTTTCTCTGAGATTCCCCCTCTCATCCCCTCTAAGATCCATTATTAATTTGCTAAAATTAGATTAACAAGTTTGATTTTTACTATCTTTTAATTGAGCGATATATATACCGTAAGAAAATGCCGGACCCAGTAGCTAGGATGTTCGATGCCGGGTGTGGCCATGTCATTGATGAAGGCCCAACAAATGTATGAAATAGTCTATTACTGCTGCATCTAAAAACCCTACATGAAATATGTTATTATTAAAGCAATGAGGTGTTTTAGTGATTTTATTGGAAAAGGGTAGTGGGATGGAGGGGGGGGGGGGTGTTGTATGTTATTATTTTAAAAACAAATATATATATATATATACGATATAGCCCATATAGACTTACGTTTACAACCAGTGTTTCTTCCAGACTTTTTTCTCCGGGGGGGGGGGGGGCACACTTGAAATTTTCGGGGGGGGGGGGGGGGGGGCGGTAAACTTTCTTCGGGGGGGGGGGCGGACTCTGTTAAAAGTATATATTTTCTATATAAATTAAATAAATTTCATTTCATTCGGGGGGGGGGGGGGGCGGTAAATTTTTTTCAGGGGGGGGGGCTTTGCCCCCCCCCCCCCCCCCCCCCCCCCGAAGAGATGCCTGGAAGAAACTCTGTTTATAACCTATATCCTATATGTAGCCAATAGATTTTTGTGTGTGCAGAAGCCTTAGTTTTCTTTTTGAAACAAACACATCTATTTCTCAGCAAACGCAGACTAATAAACAACATTTTAAATTTATGGGGTGTCCATAAGTGTTACATCATGAACCACTTTGAGCCTTTTAATCAGGCCTACACTAGTTGTTGTTTATAGTAGGCCTGCTACTGAGGCATCATGTTACTGGATATGTGAAATTGTGAACTTGTCTAGTTTTAGTATCAGTTCTACCTGCCCCTACTTATGTATGGTTTATTTCACATTTAGTGACGATTTTTAAAAAATCTAGTATTAATTATTAAACCAAATGTACATGTTAAAATTTTGTTTGTGATTATTTTGAGTTGATACCATCACACCTCATATTTTTTTTGTCGAGAGGCTTTGATAAAATTTCATCAGTAAAATTGTATTTTTTCGCTAAATGGTTTCTGTTGTGCTTTCAACAACCCAGAGGCGTAGCGACCCTTCCCGGCGCCAAACTTTTGATTTGCACCCCCCCCCCTCAAGCTTTCAATTTATTTTTCCAACCCATTTTGGCGCTCCCTAAGGTCGGCGCCCGGGGACATATGTCCCCCCCCCCTTGCTACACCTCTGCAACAACCCCTCCCATTTGCAAACAATATCTGAGTGGGGCTTTGGGCTGCTGCTCTGTCAGCCCCCTACTCAATCCTCCCCCGTCATTTTTCACCAAACGAAAGGCTAGCCCTTTCAAACTAAAACAGTTCACTGGTGCAACAAGACATACATAAAACAATTCGCAACAATTGGACCAAATGTCGAGTGTCATCTAAGTATCATTTAAAGTTTTTGTTCTAGCAGTTGGAGGTTAGGCTCAGTGTTTCTTCCAGACTTTTTTTTTAACTGACATGAAAGGGCTGCCCCTACAATATACAGTACAAATATAACAGATAGTGAGGTGCCCTACAGTACAAATATAACAGTGAGGTGCCCTACAGTACAAATATCACAGATAGTGATGTGCCCTACAGTACAAATATAACAGATAGTGAGGTGCTATACAGTACAAATATCACAGATAGTGATGTGCCCTACAGTACAAATATAACAGATAGTGAGGTGCTATACAGTACAAATATCACAGATAGTGAGGTGCCCTAAAGTACAAATATCACAGATAGTGAGGTGCCCTATAGTACAAATAAAAAAATATCACAGATACTGATGTGCACTACAGTACAAATATAACAGATAGTGATGTGCCCTACAGTACAAATATAACAGTGAGATGCCCTACAGTACAAATATAACAGATAGTGATGTGCCCTACAGTACAAATATAACAGTGAGATGCCCTACAGTACAAATATAACAGATAGTGAGATGCCCTACAGTACAAACATCACAAATACAGGTACCCTATAACACATGACAAAGATAGTGAGGTGCTATACAGCTATTAAAGATACTTGCAACAGCCAATGGCAGAATGTAAACAAAATAACAACATTTTTCAAGCAACATAAGTCATAAATATAATTTTTTGAAGTATATAAAATACGAACATGAAGAATCTCTTATGAAAATTTACTTTTATTCAGTCTGTATGAAATTCATACACACACATAAAAAATTCCTAGAAAATACAAACACATTATCAATAGCATAATTGAATGATTCAAAGATTAGCATCTCTATGAAATTTATCACATTGACAGGTAGTTTTAAACCTGTAATTTGAATTTTAATCAAATGTAAAACTACAAATATAGCACAAATTTTCTATAACAAAGTAAAAGTAGACCTACACTATGGGGTTGAGCAAATATGTATTTATGGTGGTTAGAGTTCAGTAGATCTCTTGATGGAGGTGTAGTTTTTCTGATATAATTTCAACCTATGAAGATTGTCCTTTATAGGAAGTATATTGAAAGAAAAAAGATGATGATTACACTAGACATAAAAAAATTACATACTAATAGTCATTCAATATCTATAAATGACAGGCTAATTTAGCCAAATTTTACCACCATTTACCCTACTTATATTTATCGGTGTCATGAAAAACCAGACCCCCTCCCCATTAATTTAAAAGTCTGTCACACATTTTTTAAGCCCCTGATCCACAACCTCATCTTCACGTAAATCAGAAATCTCTCTCTTTAAGTGATTGACTTCACTAACAACTTTAACATACATCTATTATTAACAAAATTCGCCACACATTAGTGAAAGACCCTGCCCCATCCTTCTATCTGCATGACGTCATTAATAACTTGAACATAATTGAGTATTAAACACAATATTAAAATATTGACAGGTGGTACAACAAGCGATGAAAATGATTTACAGCCAAGAACCATAGAAAAACTATGATTCCAAATTGAAAACATGATTTTTAATCAGATGTCACATTAGAAATATAATAAATAGAAAACATGGTAAATTCTTTAGTAAAAGTGCTGCTACAATTTAAAAAAATAAAATATAGTTCAAAGACAAAAATCTTTTATAAAATACTATAATTATATAGTACTAATTTAGTAATTATATCGCTGATGGTTAATTAAAGCTACTTTCTCACAGTATTTCTAAGTATTTCTCACTATTGTTTCATTATGTTGTCATGGAAGTTCAAGTTTTTTTTATTCCTAATAGCACAAATATGGTATTGTTGCCAAAAAAATATTCTAAAAGCAGAAAAAGAAAATAGGTCCACTACTTTAGTATACAAATACATTTTACTCTAGAATATTTTCACCAATGTCTAGCCCACCTTAACCAGAAGAAGAAGTAGACATTTATAATAAAGAATAAACTTAACATAATATATGCAGTGGCTATGTTTTATTTTTAATCTCAGTTCCGGATTCCCAAAGAAAAATACTTAAGAATGCGTGAATATCTAATACATCTGTTTGTCAACAGAAAAAAGAATACTGATGATTTACTTTACAATTTAGAAAAGTGCTGAAAATCTATAAGATGCACACACAAATTGGCAATAGTAAGAAAGTTTACAATAAAACATTTTTCGCAGCCATAATATATTTTTCCAAAATAAAATAAACCAAGCATTCATTTAGGTTTTTGGAAGAAAAAAAAATCATCCGTAACTGACACATTTTTAAAAGAACATTTCTGGAATGGTTCAAGTCTGCAAACAAACTATGCACCAATAATAATTTAATGTAGCCACAAAACATGAAATTCAATGCTAGACCTTTATTAATTCTATATGTAATATGCTGTTTTTTTTCCCCCATTTTAAACCTGTAGGGAATTAGTAAATAGCCATAACATGAGGTCACATGATCTGACAGCAGTCACATGATCTAAAGGAAGTCTGGTGATCTAAGAAGAGTCACATGACCTGCATTGTCTATTTGGTGATATCACTGTACATGTTGATAGAGAAATAGTTGTACTTGAAGTTGCAATGAACAAGCTCAGCATGCACAATAGAATATTTCACCAACTCTCATCAACAATTCATATATACATGTTGGAATATAACACAGTTACAATAACGTTGAAAGTTAACAGTTTAATTTATCAGGAAAACAATACAATCATTACATGTTCTCTCCATATTTATTAAACATATTTTTACATTACATTACAAAACTTATGTTAGTTTTTATTATAACACATGAATAGATTTAAGCATTCCCTGAACTTGAAAACAAACTAGTTTTAAATTGTTATCACTATAAGCTCATTTTAGAAAGATGAATTTAATAGCGCAAAAAAAAAAAAACTTATTTAGAAACAATTTTTCATTCTTAATCATATTTTTTTTTACCGGGCTTTCTATTTAAAACAGGCACTTCCAATCACACTTACTTAAGATATACATTTTTAGCATCTATTAACATTTTAAGCCATTACAAGATCAACAAGTTAAGATAATAGTTCCATATTTTAGTGCCAGCAGTAAGTACATGAACCATAGCAAACAGAAAACTCAACCAAACATGTATGAAAAAAGAAAAAAAAATGAAGTCGTACATTAAAAAAAAATGAACATCTGAAAAGGTTCTCTAGTTTGTAGTTTATAATCCAGAAATTTGTAAATGGATTTTTCCTACTTGCAATGAAACAATTTAAAACTAAGCTTTTGAATGAGTTAAAGTTATCATTCACACAAGTGGATCTTATAATAATTAACTCACAGAATGTTAATTAGGCCCAAACAACTTTGATGTACTGTAACATCTAAAAAAATGCGACTGTATTCACATCCAAACTAAAATTTCATTTTTACACAGATTGTTTGCATCATCCATGAATCATCAAAATGAAATGTCTATAAATTGTCCTACTTTCACTAAATGTATTTGAGCAAGCAAAACACAGCAACAGTTTGCATCAAATGTGGCCCACAATTATGCATGTAAGCTTCACAACTCTAGTTTCCCAGCCAGTACAAAGTTTTGATAAAGTACACAGGCAGCTTGGTTTAAACAGTCTGTTAGGAATTTCAGCTAGGAATTTGTTATACTTTTCACATGGGTTCGAAGGTCATGAAGGAAATCCATCAGCACTTTGGCCATGTTGGCATCAATCAGAGACTGAGGAAACCAGCCCTGAAAAAATTAAAAAAAAAATTATTTAAAAAAAAAAAGGAAACAATTAAAATAAACTTTAGCATTATTCAATATTTGTTAGTATAAAGACACTCAGATAATGAATACCAAAGCCAAAAATAGAACATTCCCACAAATATTTTTAATCTACAAAGTTGATTGTTGTGAGAGGCCCACTGATCACACACAAACCCATCATGATGCACCTAAATAACCTCCATCATGAAAATTATTTCTAAAGCTATGTGACAATATTTTTTATAGGCCAAAGTACTCTAGCGACACCTGCACCCAGAGTTTACCTTCATGCCAGTATTCATGCACCAAAATATATTCAATTCCAACAAGTAAATTATTAAATTATTGCTAAAAAATTACGACAAAGCCAAAAGTACTGTTGAGACATCTGCAACCACATTGTTAGAAATCCCAACAAGTGAATTTCTAAAACTGCTGTGACTGAAGTACTGTTGAAAGACATCTGTACTCACCTTGATGTCAGTATTCATGTACCAAAAAAACAGTGTTTTGTTAGCGTTGCCAGGCATTGGCTTGTAAACCCAGCCCCCAACTCCATTGGTACCTCTAAATACAGAAAAAAAAAATATTATTGGTACTTTTAAATACAGAAACAAAATAAACCTTATTGGTAATTCTTACAAACACACTGTCAAATCATTTAATTAACTAATAAGAACTTTTAACAAATTAATTGATAAACATTCAGTATTTAAATTAATAACAAACATAAATTCTTAGTGACACCATTATAGATAATTTTAAAACAATACTTTATATTAAAGAAATCTACATCGGAATAAACAATGTTTCAATTTTAAAAAATGAAATAAAAAATATAATATTTTAAAATAATGTTAAAAATGTACATAACTGAATTTGGGTAAGATATTGGTCAATAAAGTACCATGATAAATCCACCGAAATCTTATTTAAACAAATCATTCTGACTGACCTAACATAACTTTTTTGTGGTGGCATTTCAGGGTGATTGACCCCCATGCCAGCGCCTATAAAGATGTCATCTCTTGAGCCCCAGGTTCGCAGGCTGACAAAGTCTCTGCTGGTGATGACTCCCCCTGCTATCTCCGCAGCGATGTTGTATAAAATATCTGTGTGGTCGTCAACTACTTGCAATATCTGGTGACAAAAGTCATCAGGGATAAAAATCTATTCTAAATGGGTCTTTTGTAAGGAGTAAAATGGTATGGTGAATAAAATCAATTGTAAGAAGGTTTGAATTTTATCCAAAACATATCAGCTATAAATCAATTTTAATAATATTTTGAAAATAATCTAATAGAGTAGCAAAAAATAAAATAAAACCTACAATAATAGCATTAACAAAAATAGTTGATGAAGAGTACAAACTAATTAAGAAAATGAGCACAGCTTAGCAAGTACACAAAATGATTAATAAAGTCTACAAGGCTTAATATAATGTAGTTGTGTATTCATATAACATTTTCAATTTAGAATAATCAAATTTGCAATGTATAAAAATATGTTGAATAAAAGAGGTTTAGATAAGGTACAAATAAAACCAGTGAGTCTTTTATGTCAAAACAGAAGCTTTCATACCCTGCATTCTTTAATTGCTTTATTCCATGTGGCTTGTTCCTCTGGCTTAAACGTCATTTCTTCATAAAGGTCCTTAACTGGCATGTCAACAATACCCTGTACAGACCACAATAGGTGTTGAATAACAAAAATATTAACATAGTTCTTATCAGATGCTTTCTTTAAGATCTGATGGTACTGAAAACAACAGGGCTGATGAAATAGAATTAATCTATTTTTGGTTTACTTCTATAAATAGAAAACTTGTTGGGTCAGGGTTATGTCTAGCTGGGTTTACTGCCCCTGCCTCTAGTCAGAGGTCGGCCAACCCACTGGGAGCAAGTGGACTTGGTCGGCCAACCCAGTGGGGGCAAGTGGACTTGGGTATGTCTACTCAATCAGGTCCCGGAACCAAACTTAAGACTTTCAATTAGAAATCATATGCTCTATCACTTGACCAAGCTATTCCATTATCAAAAAAAACATCACTAAACTGCTGAGTGTAAAACGTGAAAATCAAGGCACTCACCTTTAACCTGAAGACCTTCCCCACACCTTTGACCTTTTTACTATGTACAACACCTGAGGATTCATTGACCCCAGTCTCACATTTCCAGTCTGACTCTGGGCTGGTCACGTACGTCCATAAAACATCCCATGAATGCCGGGCCAAGCGAATGTAATCATTTTCCTTAAAAACACAAGACAAATCAAATCACAAATCCAATATGGCTGCTGCTCCCTCAGTTGAGGGACAATATAAATCATAACAATTGTGATTTATCTTTTTTAATAAAAACAAAATATCTAAAGGAAATTGAAATCTGATCTTTTTGCTGTTTTAAAAAATTAATACTAGGTACTAAAAAGTAAAAGCTATATATTTTAATGTTTTGAGTTGATGGTTATTAAAAATGTATAAGTTAGCTGCTAGTGTCTAAAATAAATGACCAATTAAAATGAGAATCTAACAGAACAGCAGTTACTTCTCTAAAGTAAATTATTTCTTAAATTTTGTTGAACCAAAGTCTGTCATAAACAAACATTTTTATAAAGAAAAACAAGAACTGGAAATATTGTTCTGGCCACAAGGTTGAAGAAGCATAAAGCAGTTGAACAAGTTTTTAATTTTAAAGGGAAATATTGCCAAGGGATTTTTAAAAAGAAAATTTAGAATAGTGTATGAATTGTATTGTAAAGCTCCAGTTAAACTTCTAAATTAAAATAATACATTCCTAAAGTATTGAATATAGAAACGCAAAATTATTAGCCCAACATTTAAATATCAAAACGTAAGTAAAGCAAAAAAGTAGCATGAAAACCTGAAAAAAAAAACATAAATAAAATACAATTCTGCCAAAGATCTTCATCAAATTAATAAACAATTTATAAAAAAAAAACAATAACACATGATGTAATCAGATAACAATGCAACATTTCTAACTAAGAAATACAATTACCAAGATATATAAAACCAGTGAGTAGAAGGACACGTCTGTAAAGAGATTGACAAGACTTAATCAAGAGGTGTGGTGCTTTTAATGGCATCACTATCAGTGCTGTTAATTAGAAAAACCTATGTTATAAACTAATAATTAAAAAAAATATTTTAAAAGTTATTTAAAAAATAGCCAGTGTTGGTCTCTAGAAGTTTCCTTACATGAATAATAAATTCCCCATTAGTCAACATGGCACACAGCCCTGCCACCTCCCTGAGAAATATGACTAGTTACCAGCACATTAATGACTACATTTATGGCACCAGTCTCATAATGAGCCCAAAGTATAACCCCCCAACTCTGTCAGTTCATGTCACCTGGGCCATTCAACCGGTTCAAACATTCTAATCAGAAACTGGGTCAATAAAATACTTTAACTTGTGTAGGTAGGCTGTTGAATGATTCATGTAAAAATATACAATAACATTTTCATTTCAGTTTAATAAACTTTTTCAAATGAAGATTTTTGTGTGTAATGTGTTGTAAATAGACTATATACATTTAAGTTTAAATATTTAAAAATCAATATGATTAAGTTACAAAAAAAGTTTATTTTTCTTTTATATCATTCCCCTTATTCACCTTTTAAAAAATCATACAAAACTATCCTTATGTTACAAATTTTAGGATCTTTAACATAACTATAATTTTTTATTTTTTTCTGCTACAAATGTGTTTGCTACCTGAATTGCATCAATTGCTATTTATAGTGTACCCATATACACTATAAAAACTGCATGACTAAAGTAAAACCTAAGAATGTTAAAAGAAAATATTACAACTTTCAACCAAATACCAATGACAAATGAAAGAGATCAACCACCTAGTATGTTATTTAATATTGTATAGAAATAATAGAATGTTAAACTATAAAGAAGTATAAAAAATGTATACGAAATAGGTTTGCAATCTGTATATGATATAACTCACAAAGGTTGCAAATGTGACAGAAGTATAAAAACCCCTCAACATTAATTTTTAAATTCACAGAAAGTAAGGAAATAAAATGCGTTAGAGAAGTAGCGGGGCAATGCGAGGAGCCCCAGGTTACACTACCGCACCAGCTCTGCACATGGCCCCTGGCTCGGTTTAATCATCAAATGCCGTATGCCACAGTGTGAATATTAAAGGGTGCTCTTTAAAATTAACGTAGGCGCTATAGTGCTTACAGGACAGGGGGGGGGGGGATGCGCCTGATTTGATTTAGTGAGCAACTATAGAAACCCATCATATCCATAGCCTATAGCACTCTTTAAAATGAACGTAGGCGCCATAGTGCTTACTGGTGAGCCGTGGCGCCGGAGGAATTGCCTGATTCCATATGGTCAATGATTATTGTTGCCCATCGTGTCTTAAGTGTATATCTTTTTTTTAAAAAAATGAACAGCAACACCTAATTAATGGATACCAAGTGCTAAGGTAGCTGCTGCAGAACTCTGGACCATGTATTGAAAAAAAAAGGGTACCCTCCTGGGTGCCGCCCATAAGAAATTTTAATTCTCTTTATCAACTCTAAAAAATTTGATGATACTCGGATCAAACTGTCAAACTGCATCCGACATTTATTTTTACATTCTATATATAGGGAAATAAAAATTGCACCCTCCAGCAGCGCTGCCCTTGCATTATTAAAAAAAAAGATTTTTTTTGCAGAAGCCTTCCCTAGAGTATTCTCATCAATCCCCAAAGTTTCAAGGCAACCGGATGAAAGGTGTAGTAATGCATAAAGGACAAACAAACCCACACACATACTTTTGCTTTATATATATAGATCTAGATAAAGATACAAGAATCTATATATATAATTCTCTTCTGGGAGTCGCTAGAAAACAAGCTGTAAACGCGCTCCCTACCACCCCCACCCCTACATGGTCTTAGTGAGCTGTGTTCACTCTAAATGTTTACAAGCAGAGCCGGGTTTAGTGACGACTATTAGGGGCAGATAATTTAGTTTGAAATGATTTTAAACGTAGGGGGGCAGGGGGGGGGGGGGGGGGTTATGGTCCTTAACGTGCTACTTATAGTGTTTTAAAGAAATATTTTCAGTGGCAGCGTTGGTACCGTCGAATTCACAAATTATGAATTACTGAAAAGTAGAAAAAACAACAACTAAATAGCGGCATATGTTATGCCGCGGGCCGGCTCGTAAGTAGATATTTAAGTTTTAAAAACAGTCCTAAATTTATTTTAAAATTTTGTTAATTTTAATTAAGCAGACAACCACTAGACAAAGTATTTGCTTTAAAACCCGATTAGTAGCTCAACACGACAATTATCGGCTGTTTAGTGGATCCATGGTAGGATCTCAAGTATGAAATCATATCTGTATAGGATCTACTCAAGTATGAAATCATATGTGAATATGTGAATAGGATCTACATCTCACCAGACTGTTCAGTAAAATCTCTACTAATTAATCTGGTTATATCCCCTTTTGTTGTTAATATAGTAATCTTCAAATTAATTTTTAATGAATAATTTAATTAGATTTAAAATTAAATATTCTAGCATTGCCATCGGAGACCAGTGTTTTTAGGAAAGTTAGAACCAAAATTGCTGCAATAGAAGTGGGTTAAAATTAAGTTACAAGATTAGTTACAAACATAAGGACAAGCTTATAATAAATAAAAGCATATTCTTTTTTTTTAAAAAGAGTTATTTTCTAAAGTCCATTAGGAGCTGCTATTGATAGCTTCTATTGTTTTTAAAAATCATTTTGATTATCAAATTAAACTGAAGCTTAGATGAATAGGGTCGAATTTACACTGGCTATTTATAAATGGGCGTAGAAAATAAAAAAGGATAGTTTAGCATTTTTAGGAAGCAAAAGCATTTACTCAAAGTGCAACATTCTAAAGATTTGATTTATAGAAGATTGTAAACAAAACAAGAAATATAAGGAAGACTCATCTTAAATTTCCAAAAGATTGCACACTGCTAATATTTCGAACACTTGTACTGCAAGTGAGTTTATGTTTAAACTATAGAGAGGATTCTATCTTCACAGCAAATTGAATTTGACAAAGTAAAGAAGGTGTTAGGTAATAGTATCGAGAGCTTTAATTATGAAAGTAGCTGATTAATTAAGCTGTTAATATCAATGTGTAGTCTTAAATAATAGCAAAATAAAATTAAAAAATTGGTCTTAGATTTTTAACACATTTTTTCTCTCTGTTAACAACAGCAGTTATATATAAGATAGTTTTTTGATTGTTTGATGAAGGAAACAATTATTTGAATCAGAATTTCAAAACTGATTTAAATAAAAATTTCATACATTAGGCAAGCAAACTTGGCTTTTGTCTAAAAAAACCTGTAATCTCTTTTCTATATTTTAATGTAGACAGTTAAAATTATTTTTTGCTTTGTATCCAGGCAATAGATCTATAGCTATACAGTTTATTGAAAGGCTGAATTTGAAAGGACTAGAGGGAGGGGGGGGGGGGTGTGCGCAGCAACAGCATCAGGAAAACTGGAGAAACTAACACCCTCTACCTCTATTGTTAGTGAGTTAATAGATGCTTGGCTTGCCTGGCGTGTGTGTGTCTTGGATGTGGCCACACTCTGATACTCGCTCGTTCTGTTAGTTGAGGGGCGGGGGGCTATTGTTGCTTCTTCTGTGTCTGACCCTGGGGTAAGTTGAGAAATAATTAAAATCTCTTGTAAAAGGAATTATCTACACCTTCTAACTATGCGAAATATCAATTAAACCTTTTTAAAAAGAATTTTATTAAAACTATCTAATAAATAGCAATTTGAGTAATTTAATTTGAGTTAAATCCCTTATCAAATTAAATTAAAAAATTAAAAAATGAATACATTTTAATTAAAATAGGATTTTGTATGAATACATATTAAAAGTGAAAGAGTTTTAAAAATGTAATTACACTAATTGCTTCTAATTTCAAAAATCTCATAAAGCTCTAATTAGCTGTGTCTAAAAAATAATTGCAGTGTGCATGTTCCTTAAAATATGATATTTAAACTTTAGTTTTATTAATACACCTACAGATAATCTGCCGGAAAATTAGATTTTTTTAAACTCCTGTAAATTATTTATCTTAAATATAGTTACAGTTAAAACATTTAAATGTAAAAATTTACAAATTATCTATTGAGCCATCCCAAAGCTATTTCAATTCTTGTGTGCTGTAAGAATTTTACTGTCTCTACTAGTACCATAAAGTTTTTTATTTCACAGTTAACAATGTGCGTAATAGTAAAGTTCCCTTTCCCTAACGATCCATGTGGCAGATGAAGTACAGCTCATCTATCTTGATCACAGCATATAAAGGGATAGTAGCACTATGCCAGGAGCCTTTCCTTTCCCTATTGTTGAGTCAGGTACCCATCAGAGCTGGGTGGACTCAGGGATGTTCTGCTGTCTTAGGTCTGGCCAAATTCTGAACTCTAGACCTTTGGGAGAGCGGCCAAGTATCCCCCCCCCCCACCAGTCAATAAAAATGTGTTTAGAGAACGTCACCTTCAGGGGACTCAACAGGTGAGTAGAACTGGTTGTCTTCAGTGATAACAGACTGCATGTCATCCTGACCCATCAGCAAAGGTCGACTAGAGCCATAGGTTGATCCATAGGTAACTAGAACAAGAAAACATGGGTGTAAATAACAGAACACTGAATTGATGGGGCTGATTAATCCATAAGTTACTCTACTGCAGCATAACCTGCACCACCAACTACAGTAGCCTTGCACCCCCCCCCCCCCCCCCCCCCAGTTACAAGCACCACCCATTTCCTCTACTGTACTGCAGTAACCTGCCCCACCCAACCCCACCACACCTGTATCAGTAACTTGCCCCCCCCCCCCCACAGCTAAAAGCACCACCCACCTCATCTACTGTACTGAAGTAACCTGCCTCACCCACCCCCACCACACCTGTATCAGTAACTTGCCCCCCCCCCACAGCTAAAAGCACCACCCACCTCATCTACTGTACTGAAGTAACCTGCCTCACCCACCCCCACCACACCTACATCAGTAACCTGCCCCACCCACATCTACAAGCACCACCCACCTACTCTACTGTACTGCAAAAACCTGCCCCACCCCCCACAGCTAAAAGCACCACCAGGGCTGCCTACCCCAAAAAAAATTTTCCCGTAACAAGAGCATAGGTTTTCCGTAACTTTCCATAACTTTCAGTATTTTTACACATTTTTTAAATACAATGTAAATAAGACCCATATTATATGATCGCAAAGCTCATCAGCGTAACGATGACAGTCGGCAACTCGTGTTACTTTTTATTTTATGGACTAACTAGGCATGCTGCCCAGCTTCGCTTAGGCTTTCGAAAACATTGAGAATTTGAATGCTTAATTAATTCGCCCGAGGTTCGGTCTACGACCTCAAGAGTTATGAAGAGGTTCCTCCGTGGACATTTTTTTTCGATTTATAGCTCATATAAGGCACCGGTCAGTCGAGGTCAGTTTTGACCCCCTCATCGTAGACTTTTCGGCCAACCGCCCCCCGTGTTCTGTCGCCCCGAGGCAAGATCCTGCCAAATTTGAAGCGCCTGCGGCGCCGGGAAGTGCCCTATTGGACACCCGACAATCTGGATCTAGATCTAGAATCCTAATAGAATTTTTTTTTAAAGTTTAGCCCGAGCATAATAAAAAAAAATACATTAACCAAGTTGACTTGGTGTGTCTCGAACCCACACCACCTGCGTGGTTTATAGTAAACTAACATCTCCGCTATTTAGGCACCTTATAAAATTCGGAGAATGAAACACGTATTTTAAAATCTTAACTTACACGAATATGCCTATTGTTTCAAATTAATTTTATCCCAAATTAGCCAGTTCCAATCAAAGATTTTGTATAAAATAAATAAGTCTTGAAATAGTTTAGTCCTAATATAGAAATTTATTTTTAGAATAGATTTTAGAGAAGTTAGAGTCTAAATCTAGATCTTAGCGTCTAATTCTAGTTACTAGTTATTGCGTAGATTTAGATTTAGTCTAGATCTAGAATCTCTAGATCTAGAATCCAAATAAATAAAATAAATTTTATGAGTTTAGGCCGGAAAAATTATATTGTATACATTTCATAGTGTACGTAGATCTAAATCAAATTTGAATGAAATAGTTCATTTCTTTTTATTGTAAACACGGCAGATGACGTGATTAGTAAATGTATAAACATTAGTGACGTCACAGTTTTATGCGTTCTTTTTCACATTTATAAATGCTTTTCCGGTTGCATAAATAATACTGTTTCTCTATATTCGAATACGCCTTTATTTTTTATTTTTCTTCTTTAAATAAAATTGTGGGTATACATTTAAAACATCTAACATATTATTTTCAACAAAAGTCCGTATAAAGGTATCCATATATCGCTGCCGATTCTGACGTGATGTCCGGCGAAAATATTTTGCGGACAGAGAGAGAGAAGAGCGCACATGGCCTTTTATATATTAGGATAGGCCTAATTAGTTTTAAAAAAAACGCCGTTAGATTCAGAATGTAAGGCGACAATGGAAAATTTCAAATAGGAATTGTTCTTGCAATGAGTAGTATGACGTATGATATAGGCCTACACTACCGATATCTAAACCAATGTGAACTCAGTGACCCCTCGACTGTGTGTGTGTCAGGATTTTTTCTCCAGCGAACAAGAAAACGTGAGCGGCTGATAACACGGGTGACAATGTTTAGAATTAGCATATTTCTTGAATATTTTTTTTAAAATCTACATTTTATCAATGTAATATCTAGTAGAAAAGAATAATTTTAAAAATATGATCCGTAATTGATCTAGGTGAGCCTAGATCTCGTTGTTTAGTAATATCTTGTCTTCTCGCACAACTCAAACAAAATGCCTCGATATCTCACTATTTAGGCATTTAGCCGTAATACCGCCTCAGCAAATATGTCTCGCCAGACTGCGCGACCAGACTTTCAATGATTTAGGCCACGCACTTTTTTTTCTCTACGGACAACACCGGCTCATGAGGTAACACAGACCACTCGCGGGGTCAATAGTTCACAATATAAACACGACTGCCGCCAGCCATGACAAGAGTGGAAAGGGGAGGGGGATTGTTACGGAAGAGGCTGAGAACCTTATAACCGGATAGGCCTAACACGCTGAAATGCTGAAATATAACTAAATTAAAATATAAACTCAGACCGGGAACATAAAGTTAAGTTACAACCATACAATATTTTTTACACTAAAGACGATTTTTATCTCTACTGAAATCAAAACCGTAACTTTGCAGCATAATCGTAATTCTGTAACCTGGCTGTCAAGATTGTAAAATTACGGACAAAACCGTACAAGTAGGCAGCCCTGCACCACCCACCTCCTCTACTGTACTGAAGTAACCTGCCTCACCCACCCCCATCACACCTACATCAGTAACCTGCCCCACCTACCCCCACACCCACAAGCACCACCCACCCCCACAGCTACAAACACCACCCACCTCCTCTACTGTACTGCAGTAACTTGTCCAGAGCTTTCTGCTCCTGGGGTATGACCTTGAAGTCAAGAAACCATGTCTCAGCCCAGGCCAGCACGAAGGAGATGATGATCAGACAGTAGCTCAGAGGGTTGTTGCTGCTTTTCATACCCTCAAACTGATCAAAAAGCAAAATAGCAAACCATTAACAAATATTCTTTTCATAAACAATCATAAGACCAGTTTAGTTGTTTTTTTTAAAAAAAAAAAACCATTTATTATAGATGATAGAATATTATAATCTAATTAAAAAAAAAAAAAAAAACAACTTAGCAATAAAATAATAAGTTGGCAAGGAATTTAAGTCAAAATTTAAAATTTATATTCTGCCATTTAGGGTAATATCTTTGTAGTCAAAATATCAAAATATCCAACAAATTATTTTTTAAAATTAAGATAGTAATAAAAATGTGTTTAAAGTACAAGACATTAAAATACTAATTAATTAACATAATTAATATACTTTATTGTTTTTAAAATGTTTCATAGTACAACACCATACATTAAAATACTAATTAATTAACATAATCAATATAAATTTTTTTTTAAATGTTTCATAGTATAACACTATAGGCCTACATTAAAATAAAAATAACTTCAGAACTTATTTCTGGGATTTGATTAAAAATAAATTAAAAGTTTTTAACAACAGGCAACACAACAATGTCCTGGCAACCAGGTGAACAAGTTTCATATTTCAAGTAAGGACAACAAACAACTTTTAAATAGAGTTACAACTCTGGCGAGAAAAAGTGCCGATACAAATATTTCAACATAAAAAACACAATCACTGTAACAAAAAATAACTTCAAGGGCTAACACAGCTCTGTCTAAATCCTCTAATACACCCATCTTAAAGGCTATCACAACAGTACTTTTTTATCAATCAAAACACAAATTTTAACATTACTTTAAATTGATTGATACTTAATGAACAATGACATAAACTATCTAGGTAGGTTAATAGCTACAGATAAAGTGGGGGTACTTACATCAAACAGAAATATCTTGGCTATGAGAGTAGCACATGTGAATGCAGTACACAGCTGAAATAGAAAGTGATGATGTGCAATAAAAAAAACTATCTCCAGACCAGATGTTACATAATCTCTTTCTCCTCAAACAATCCATACAGACATACAGTCAGATAGTTTAAAATTTAGGTTAAATACATATACAAGGAGGGATTTTAAAAAATGTAATCTTGGTTGTGATCTTTCCTATGTAGACCTACTAGTGAGAAATTGTGGCATATAAGGTTAGTAGGTTTAAGTGTTCTTTCAAAGTAGGTTTGTTAGCTTTTATTTATTGGCTGTATAACACGTGTTTTTTCTTTGAACAAGCTTTGAAATAATGCTTGCTGTAGCACTTTTACAACACTAAACATGTTAGAAAGGTTATGGGTTCATTGGAAAATGGTTATGTGTTCATTAGGTTTTTATCCATAGTGTACTTTATTTGCTACACCTCAGGCAAGTGATGCCTTCAGTCAATGAGGGATTACAGCATTATTTTATTTGCTGGCTTTTATTTATGTTTATTTTTTTGAATAACAAGGGAAACAACTACTGGCTATTGTATATACCAAGAGAGACAACTTCTAGCTCGTGTAGATAAGACAGGCAACTACTGTACATAAGGGAAACAACTATTGGCTACTGTATATAAGGGAGATAACTTACAGCAATCACCCACCAATGACGCAGTTTGAACAGACCATAGCCCAGCAGTAAAAAAGTAAACCTGATGGCACTCAGCATCTGAGGAGGAAATTGTTTGCCATTTTACTCAGTTAGTCTCAACAAACAGAAATAAACTAGTTGATTATGCTTATATATGATAACATAATGTTAATCAAGACTAGTGTTTTCCTAGCTGTATTTTACAGTTAAATTCTGGTATTGAAATCTGTATTTTTTTGTTTTAAATCCTTCTGTTACTTCCCCTGATTTAAAACAAGGTAACTATCATAACTGAGTTATCTCAGCTTAAACCAACAGAAGAAGGCTAACACAGGCCAACCACTGAGGTTAGCCATCACAACATAAGTTAACAATCCTTTGTCACACTATAAGTGCCCACAGTGCCAACAATGTACTTCTATATCAATTGCCCCCTTGGTCACACTGTTCTTATTGTCATGGTTACTGCCCACAGTGTCAACAATGTACATGTATGTCAACTGCCCCCTTTGTCCAACTGTTCTTATTGCCATGGTTACTGCCCACACTACATGTCAACAGTGTCAACAATGTACATGTATGTCAACTGCCCCCTTTGTCCCACTGTTCTTATTGCCATGGTTACTGCCCACACTACATGTCAACAGTGTCAACAATGTACATGTATGTCAACTGCCCCCTTTGTCCCACTGTTCTTATTGCCATGGTTACTGCCCACACTACATGTCAACAGTGTCAACAATGTACTTGTCTTACCACTGAGTCAAACAGAGAGGTTTTGAAGTTATAATTTTTCACTTGTTTCTCAAAGGCTGTGTACCCTGTGTCACCAATTAGCTGTAAACAAATGTAAAGGATATATTTAGACACAAAATATTTGTTATGTTGCAAGAACTCCTTATTTTTCAGTTTCATATTCAAATTACTGCCAGTACAAAGTAAAGAAAAATATAATCCATATTACAAGATAGTAAGGAGAAACTACCCCCTTTACATGAGCACTTTCCTGTATCTTGGAGATAATTCTACTTGTTTGTTTCATAATTAAATTTTTTTATCTATACACTTGGGAATGTAAGGACTGATGCAAATGAGAATAAATCAGTACCCCCCTACATATCTGCAGACAAAATAATTAAAGTTAGACCTAAAACATACAACAGTACCTGGGTGTAGATGACCCATAAGATAAACATCAGAATGAGGTCAAAGAGGACAAGTAAACAAAATGTCCTCCTGACTGAGGACATTCTCCCATCTCCCAGGTAGTAGTTTGTGTTGTCCATAGGTCTGGGTGGTTCAGGGGAGGTCACCACAATGGCTGGGTGGCGGTCACTTGCGGCTAATGGTGGCGGCATACTGGGGACAGAATGGGGTTAAGGTCACACAAGGCTACTGGTGGTGGCATACTGGGGACAGAGTGGGGTTAAGGTCACACAAGGCTACTGGTGGTGGCATACTGGGGACAGAGTGGGGTCAAGGTCACACAAGGCTACTGGTGGGGCATACTGGGGACAGAGTGGGGTTAAGGTCACACAAGGCTACTGGTGGTGGTGGCATACTGGGGACAGAGTGGGGTCAAGGTCACACAAGGCTACTGGTGGTGGCATACTGGGGACAGAGTGGGGTTAAGGTCACACAATACACAATAGAGTGACCACAAGTAGAGTTCACAGGAGTTTAAAAATAGATATTGTGCTACTATTGTCGTACAGCAAACTTATTAACTATCAAACTATCATTATTCATAACAACGTGTTTATTATTCCTTCTCACAATCAGATCAAACAATCAAGGATACCTTTAAAATCTAAACATAAAAAGTCTTCATAATTTTATGTAAAGAAAATTGTTTATACTAGTTTTCCTTTAAGATGACAACAAAGTTTCCAATAAACTTTTTAAAACCAATGTACATAACAGTCTAAAATTAACACTGAGGCTGTAGACATTACAAGGACAAAGGCTGGGTTAATTTGAATGCTATTAATACTTCAGTGTGACCTATATAGCCTGGCAGTTTCACATTAGCACAGCATTACAATTTTAAAGATGTGTTGTTGTCTCATATACTGACATTAGTGTGCAGGTTCGCAATTAAATAAAATATGAATGTGTATGTCTCTAGGTACATCTAACTGATTTTTTAAAACAGTCCCAGAGTTTTTTTAAAGTTACTATGTTACGAACTCAAGATTCTAAGATAGTAGATACCCAATTTGTTCATATATCTCAAGTAGTAAAAAGGTAAGAGAAGGTAAGGAACTGACCTGGTACTACCATCACTGTGGACGCTGCTGTATATGACATGTCCAGCTAACTTAGCCTGCTGTTCTCTCTCTGTGTCTGACCTAGCATCACCCTGGTCACAGAAAAATAGAAATATCAAACTGGTGTTAATTTTCAGATCTGGCTCAGTATCTAGACCTGACTATACATTGCCCTGGCCATAAAAAAAATCAGATTTAGCTGTTTACTTGTGACACCACCTGGTAGAAATGTTCCCTCTATGTAAAATAATATTTCCTTGCACAAGACTTTTAGAACACAGAAAATACATGTTGTACGCTAGCTTCTTCCCTTTAGTGGAAAGGTTGCCTTGTTCATGACCCATCTGGACCTGACTTATAAAACCCATCTGCACACAACTAGAAGAATCTTTACTTAACTTTTTAAATTAATTTCCATAACAAAATTTCAGAAAACATTAAGATCTATAACATGTTACACACAGGGCATAACTATGTAGCTACAGTAACCCTTTCTGATGAGAAAAAACTATGTTGATTAACTTAATTGACTTGACACATTTGGACTGTATAGCTACAGCAAACCTTTCTAATGAAATTAAGAAAGAAAAAGCTATGTTGTTTAACTTAATCAACTGACACACTTGGACTGTATAGCTACAGTAAACAGTTCTGATGAAATTAAGAAAGAAAAAGCTATGTTGATTAACTTAATCAACTGACACACTTGGACTGTATAGCTACAGTAAACAGTTCTGATGAAATTAAGAAAGTAAAAGCTATGTTGATTACTTTAATCGACTTGACACATTTGGACTGTATAGCTACAGTAAACCTTTCTAATGAAATTAAGATGAACTTAATCAACTGACACACTTGGACTGTAAACAGTGAAACTGATTTGACTTCCTGCGTAAAACAAGTGACAGTATAAAACTGTGGACTATATATATACTAAGTGCAAGGAAAATCTTCACCGTTTCCTTGTGCTACCAAAATCAAATCTGACATGAACTACCAACATCACATGAACTACCAACATCACATGTAGTACCAACATCACATGTACTACCACTCTGTCATGACTAACCTACACTATGCATGACCGGCGATTTCTCGGAAGACCCAGCACCTGATTTGACACTCCCCCCCCCCCCATACACCCCCTCCCCAAAATAATTCAATATCCTGATTATAAAACACACAAAACCCAGAAGTCCCCTTATCTGGCTTATCAACACAATCCGGTCTGAAACTGAAAACCACTTTACAATAAGAAAGCCATAATTTCCGTAAAGCCCCTGAGGAGGAAATTATTAAGGTTGGAAGAAACCCCGATCAACCATTGGTATAACTGTATCGCAGAACAAGCTATGCTGAAGTGTCAAGAGACCAAGATGACCCCCCCCCCCCACACACACACCTGTGTAGGCCTGCTCTCAGACCTCAGTAGGTCGCCGAGCGGAAAGGAAATCCTCTAATCATGCGTGACAGGCCGCTAGCTTTATGGGGGAAACCCCCCGTACGACGTCACACATCACATGACAGCCAAACGTAAACAAGAGTTTGGTGAATTATTTCCGCACTTCACAGAAACGAAGTAGTTCGCAGCCAAAGTTTCCATGATTTTATCCGTAGGTACTTAACAATGTGACCTTAAAAACAACTCATTATAATTTTCCTATCCGGTTGTATATGGCACGTGTGACGCTAAAAGTTAAAACAAACAATCGTTTTGACTATATTTAGACCCACACATAACTTGTCGGGAACAATACGCTCCCCGTCAATCCCCCCCCCCCCCCTCCTTCCGCCCCCAAAACTGCTGTTTTACAGTACGCCCTGGCATCTCTTCGCCCCCCCCCCCCACCCCCCGAAGAAAGTCTACCGCCCCTCCCCCTCCCCTGAACGAGATGGATTTTTATATAGTGAACATACACTTTCACTAGTGTCCGCCCCCCCCCCCCCGGAGAACAAAGTCTGGAAGAAACACTGCCCGGCAATAGTCTTGTAGGGTCTATTAAATATTAAAAAACCGTGTGCGGTGATATTCAATTATGACATTTTTAAAAGTATTTTCGGTACCTTACAAAATAAAAAACAAGGCAAAAACATTTTTTTTTCATATTGAAAATGTAAACAAACATGAAGGCGTAACTTGGTCATGAAGTTTTCTAAAGTATAAGTTTATTAAAATATATTTACTATTTATCGGCACAATTTTGAGTACTATGTGGGATTTTGAGAAATATATCACGATGTTTCTATACGGCTAATCAAAGTTTGTCCTACGTAAAAATTCGGGTTAAAATTTTGGGTTGATGTAAATAAACAAATGTAATCGTATTAAAAAAAAAGTTTCATGTATTTGCTAATTTTTTTAACACTGATTCTTAAAACAATTACATTTCTGATCTTTTTTAAGCTTTAATTTTTTTTAAAGCAAAATCAATTTGAAAATATAAAATATACGGGCAAGTGATCCCTAAAAGAACCAATGAAATTTTAAACTACAATCAAACGTGACATAGAAACTAACACACGGATTGAGTGGCCCTATACGTGTTGTAGAACCTCTAACAACGAGCAGAGGCACGTGATGTCGTCCAAAAGTAGCCAAGCACGTTACATCTAGTCACGTGTCACCCTTCAGCACACGTCAAGTCCGCGAGTGTTTTAATACTTTACAGTTTACAAGACACAGCTCTAAAACAAAGCTTCACGTTAGGGTTATAGATAGAACATGGGCAAGGGAGACTACCTTAATGATTAAACCAGGTTAAAAACAAATGGTGTTTGCAGAACTATCTTTGACTGGCTAAAAAACAAATCATGTTTACAGAAATATGTCTGGCGAAAAAACAAACGATGTTTACATAATAATCTCTGACTGGCTAAAACCAAATGACGTTTACATAGTTATCTTTGATTGGCTAAAACCAAATGTTGCTTACAGAACTCTGACTGACTAAAACCAAATGTTGCTTACAGAACTCTGACTGACTAAAACCAAATGATGCTTACAGAACTCTGACTGACTAAAACCAAATGATGCTTACGGAACTATCTTTGCGAAACTCCACGCTCAGGTACTGGCCAGGTCCACTCGTATAAAACGTAGCAGTGCTCTGGCTCATCGTGTAAGACCACACAGACCCGAAGCCAATGTTTACATCACAACATAGCTCTAGGTGTCTATACTAGGCTAATGTGTCCATCAACCAATGACGGCACCCCAATAGTTCAGTGATAACTTGTTGATGAATTTCACACCTGACCAAAACACGCAGTTCGCTGCACTGTTAGTTAGTAGAACACAACACTTTCTATACAAATCTCCACTTTAAATACGGCACGTAGTACACAAAGCATTCAATGAAATTAAATAACTTGAGATACAAAGACAATCCCGATTTTTTAATAGCCTGATCACGTGACAGTTTCCGGCCAATGAGCCAAGGAGATACGGCTCTAACCTTCGATCTAGACGACGAATGTTATCAAACAAAGGATAACTTATCCAACCTTCGTCTCTTTAACACTGAACAAATAAACCATGACCACCATCACTGTATATACCCGTCTAATGGACCAACGTCCACCCAGTCATCACTCAACTGGACCAACGTCCACCCAGTCATCACTCAACTGGACCAACGTCCACCCAGTCATCACTCAACTGGACCAACGTCCACCCAGTCATCACTCAACTGGACCAATGTTCCCCAAGTCACCGACGAACGGTTATTACTCATACATTCAATGATGCACAACGGACTGATCTCACTAAACGTATCGATCAATCAGAAGATGATACAACAACATAGCCTGGACAGGATGTTGTAACACCTTTGGGAGACTTATCGTTATCTACTCACTTGGTCTGATTAAAAGTGAACTTAATTACAAACACACCCGTGGTTTAAATACCAGCTGAAGCCACGCTGAAATGGCGTATAGTATTATTGCTCTGATCGAGATTTTAAATGTTTTAGCTATGCTCGATTTTTTTTAACATTTGTAAAGGGTAACAAGTATTAAAATGATTCGTACAAAATTATTAAGCATCCAATTACGCAAAATTTGATGTAACATTGTATTGTCATCGAATCTTGACCCACGTGCAAAGTTTTAAAGAAATGGGTCCGTTAGAAGTGGTCGAAATTTCGCTCGCCCATTTCGAGCCATAACATCAAAAGCGCTAAAACGAGGAAGCAAGTTAAATAAAAGCTTGTTAAAAAAAAGCAATTTTCCTCTTTCAGACCTGATGGCAGATGAAGTAGAGTTCCAATGTTTCTTGATCTCGGCATATTATGTATGGATGGTGTGGTCAGCACTGCGCCCCGCCGACTTTATTTTCTGCAAAGCTAATCTACCCATCAGATCTAGGCAGCCGCCGGTTGGTTCGAGATCTGAACTCTGAGACTAAAGACAAGCAGTCGAGCGCACTACCACCCGACCAAGCGGCCTCTTCTAACCGGTATGGTAATGAGTATTTAACCATCCTGGGCGATGCATGCTCAAGTAGTAATATGCTGTTCTTAGATGTATTTTTATCACAGAAATCTAAAACTAAATGCACCATTAAAGTGTAATTTTTCTAGCGTCACCTGAGACAAAATGAGTCGTTATTTACCATAACTTTGTTGATATTTCAAAAAATATACAAGCTAAAGAGTTATGATAAATTATCGCCCTTGATCATTTAGATATAAGATTTATGTGAATCAAAAACGCACTGGATGTTAGGCCTGTTATCTATCATGACAGTACAAGCTAATCGACAAAACTGAATTCATATCAACTCATCGCATAAAAGACATCATACAAATAGTTTGAACACAGCCACATTTTGACTGGCGTTGATAAAACAGCGAAACTGGAGCATCAGTTAATTAGGTTAATGAATGTGGTAACGCTCAATGACTAATGTTATGCCGGGTTTATGAGGTAACTTTATGGCGCAACGGTGAATAAGAGTCGCGGGTTTTCTGGCGGGAAGGGGCGGTCCTCTGGGTAACAGGGACTACCAAAAACGAAAGTAAAAATTTTGGCGGAAGTAAATTTTGTTTAGATCGACTATGCAGAGGCGTAGCGAGGGGGGGGGGGGGGGGGGGCCGGGGGAACGACACATGTCCCCGGGCGCCGACCTTAGGGGGGCGCCAAATTGAAAGTTTGAGGGGGTGGGGTTGGGGGTGCAAATCGAAAGTTTGTCCCCGGGCGCCGGGAAGGGTCGCTACGCCTCTGCGACTATGAATACGGATCAGTACAAATAAACCAAGAAAACTCAAAACATTCAACAAGTTTTTAAAGCGTTTTGAGATGACCGGGGCGAACTATCAATTTTGCGTCGTCCTCCCCCACCCCTCCCCCGAATTTATTATGTAGTTATTCACGTCGGTGAAAAAGCACCCCTCCCCCATTCATCCAGTTCAGAATGGTCGGGACTGTCCCATAACGGTTGAATTGTGTGTCACACAATTGATGTAGAAACAGTCTAATTACTTAACTTTGGCGGTGCACAATTCATTGATACAGCTAATAGTGAGTTTTTTTCTTCCCTCGTTTTGCCCCCCCCCCCCCGCCTTCCCCTAGCTACGCCTTTTGAGTTTGTGTGGGAAGAAAATGAACTTGTATAAATGATAATACAGTTTTAACATAAAAACTACGTGTGTGGAATGTATGACGACACTGCACTGGTTATACACTGGGAGCGAGGGGGGGGGGGGGGAGAGAAAGAGAAGGACACGCCTAGGTCATCACCCATAAGGATCTCACAGGTAAGCTGAGGATGTTTTAAAAACATCAGAAAAAAAACATGGGAAACCGCTGGCTAAATTTTTAAACAGTACATACAAGAACCAGAGTTAACATAAATCTTCTAAAAAAGTTTTTCTTTAAATAGAACAGCATAATATTGGGGTGGTGTCCCTTGGTTGGTTGGCACTGAATTATACAATCAGGTTTAAATAGAAGCAGTTACATTTCCTTGTACTACGATGATAAAACGGTTGCTAGTTCATAACTTTTTTCTAAAGACATGACACCACGGCAAGTAGAACTAAACACATGACACCATGGCAATACAGAACTAAACACATGACACCATGGCAAAACAGAACTAAACACATGACACCATGGCAATACAGAATTAAACACATGACACCATGGCAATACAGAACTAAACACATGACACCATGGCAATACAGAACTAAACACATGACATCATGGCAATACAGAACTAAACACATGACACCATGGCAACACAAAACTAAACACATGACATCATGGCAATACAGAACTAAACACATGACACCATGGCAACACAAAACTAAACACATGACATCATGGCACTACAGAACTAAATACATGACACCATGGCAACAGAACTAAACACATGACACCATGGCAATACATAACTAAACACATGACACCATGGCAATACAGAACTAAACACATGACAGTATAAACACAGAACCAAACACAAGACACCATGGCAATACAGAACTAAACACATGACACCATGGCAAAACAGAACTAAACACATGACACCATGGCAATACAGAACTAAACACATGACACCATGGCAATACAGAACTAAACACATGACACCATGGCAACACAGAACTAAACACATGACACCATGGCAATACAGAACTAAACACATGACATCATGGCAATACAGAACTAAACACATGACACCATGGCAACACAGAACTAAACACATGACATCATGGCACTACAGAACTAAATACATGACACCATGGCAACAGAACTAAACACATGACACCATGGCAATACATAACTAAACACATGACACCATGGCAATACAGAACTAAACACATGACAGTATAAACACAGAACTAAACACAAGACACCATGGCAATACAGAACTAAACAGATGACACCATGGCAATACAGAACTAAAGACATGACACCATGGCAATACAGAACTAAACACATGACACCATGGCAATACAGAACTAAACACATGACACCATGGCAATACAGAACTAAACACATGACACCATGGCACTACAGAACTAAACACATGACACCATGGCAATACAGGACTAAACACATGACACCATGGCAATACAGAACTAAACACATGACACCATGGCAATACAGGACTAAAGACATGACACCATGGCAATACAGAACTAAACACATGACACCATGGCAATACAGAACTAAACACATGACACCATGGCAATACACAACTAAACACATGACAATATAAACACAGAACTAAACACATGACACCATGGCAATACAGAACTAAACACATGACACCATGGCAATACAGAACTAAACACATGACACCATGGCAATACACAACTAAACACATGACACCATGACAATACAGAACTAAACACATGACAGTATAAACACAGAACTAAACACATGACACTATGGCAATACAGAACTCACAGGTAAGCTGAGGATGTTTTAAAAACATCAGAAAAAAAACATGGGAAACCGCTGGCTAAATTTTTAAACAGTACATACAAGAACCAGAGTTAACATAAATCTTCTAAAAAAGTTTTTCTTTAAATAGAACAGCATAATATTGGGGTGGTGTCCCTTGGTTGGTTGGCACTGAATTATACAATCAGGTTTAAATAGAAGCAGTTACATTTCCTTGTACTACGATGATAAAACGGTTGCTAGTTCATAACTTTTTTCTAAAGACATGACACCACGGCAAGTAGAACTAAACACTTGACACCATGGCAACACACAACTAAACACATGACACCATGGCAATACAGAACTAAACACATGACACCATGGCAAAACAGAACTAAACACATGACACCATGGCAATACAGAATTAAACACATGACACCATGGCAATACAGAACTAAACACATGACACCATGGCAACACAGAACTAAACACATGACACCATGGCAATACAGAACTAAACACATGACATCATGGCACTACAGAACTAAACACATGACACCATGGCAACACAAAACTAAACACATGACATCATGGCACTACAGAACTAAATACATGACACCATGGCAACAGAACTAAACACATGACACCATGGCAATACATAACTAAACACATGACACCATGGCAATACAGAACTAAACACATGACAGTATAAACACAGAACCAAACACAAGACACCATGGCAATACAGAACTAAACACATGACACCATGGCAAAACAGAACTAAACACATGACACCATGGCAATACAGAACTAAACACATGACACCATGGCAATACAGAACTAAACACATGACACCATGGCAATACAGAACTAAACACATGACACCATGGCAACACAGAACTAAACACATGACACCATGGCAATACAGA